AATATAAATATTAGTTAAAAAATATATATATATTAAATTGTATAAAAAGAAACAATACGTCGAATCAAATTTAATCAATATACAAAAAATATTATTTAAAATTAAAATATTATTTGATATCGAGGAAAAATTTATGAGTTTGTGGAGTGTGTGAGAAATTAGATATGATTGGAATTTTTTAAAATTAATTATTATTTTTTTCTAAATATTTAAATAAAAACAATTCACTTAACATAAAATGTAAAGATAAATCATAATGATGTAATCTAGAAAAAAAATATATATTATAAAATAATGCAGGTCGAACCAGGATCTCAAGAGTAGTATTGTTAAACGGCTCTTGAGCCGATTTTTAAAAACGGCTAACTCAATATTTTATCCAAAAAAATATTATGTAAGCCTGAAGATTCTACTCATAGAAGGAACAAAGATCTAGACATATATATTATCGAAATCTCGAGGCTTAGGCAATATTTGTTAGCTAAAATATTGAGTTACGTTTAACAACTCACTCAAGAGACAGTAAAGTTTTCAAGTATTTGAATTTATATACCATAAGGATTAAGCGTTATCATGAGATAATATTTTTTTAAGGGATCTTAAGATACCCTAAAATAACTAGAGATTCCTTAATAAGCCCCTCCCCCACACATCTTTCACGCAAACGCCGAAAAGGATTAATTGAGCTCGAGTTTTGAATAATGCAGGCTCATCTAAGAACCATGTTTTATAAAATGATGGTGAAAGTTTCTCAGGGCTCTCTAACACAGAGGGGAAATGCGATAACTTCATTGATGTTTTTAGTGGGTAAACTAAGGGAAGATGGGAATTACCTTCATAGTCAACACATAGGTAAATATCCATTTTATATTTTTATGTCATTGGGAGAATAAATTCTTATCCATAAAATCTTAACGGTCCTTTTTATATACTCCAATAAACGCTTTGATTAAATGGAAATTATTATAGGTGTTAAGAACAGTTAATATAGATGTGATTAAGTATGATTTTTAAAAAAAAAATATCAAATTTGGTCGTAACATAATTTTACTTTCTATTTTTAAGAAAATCAAAATCTTAAAATGACAAAATTTCCTGAACCCTATCTCTGAGTCGGAGACAAATCAGGGCTGTGTTCATTGGGGGAAGATGGGTGGCAAGAACAGTGGTCCAGAACTCTTGGCTCGGTGCTGAACACTGAGATAAAATAAATCGGCTGTTTATGATTTAAAAAGAAAAATGGAAAAAAAGAGATGTTTTTGATCTTTGTCATTATTCTGCCGCTAATTATAGTCCAGAATGTTCTCACGATTGTTACTATTTTAAAATCCTGAGTTTATTTTATAGTTCTCAATTGTGAACTTTTGATCTTATCTGACAAAAAAATAAATAAATAATGGTTTCTATAGAGAAAGAGGAACAAAGTATATCTCAATATGACCAAAAAAAAGAGGAGGTTTCTAATAGTCATCTTAAAGAGGATTTATAATGTTATCTTTAATCTTTGGATTATATTTTAAAATGATAGAAAAAATAGATAAATATCGTCTATCAAAATCTATTAATATTTAAAACTAAAATATTTTTGCCTAAAAGATGATTTATCTGATTATTATGTTAATTACGAAACCAAAAAATAAAACTATAGAAGTTACACACAATATTCTAAAAAAAAATAAAATAAATACTTTTTAAAAATATTATTTGAATATGGAAAAATAGGTTGGTTTATATTGATTTAAATTAATCCTTTTTTTTATATTCCAGAAATTTTATTTTAATATTTTTTCGCATTTAGCGCTTAGAATCCTTTTTTAAAATTATTCGTTATTCATATACGATTTTGAATAATTGGAAATAACGTTCAACGAATTCCAATAATTCTTTTTTGAATTTAATCAATTTTTATTTTTAATAAAAAGGCTATTTTGCTAATATATATGTCATATAATGGATACACCGTTACATTATAGAAGACACGCAGAGGTCAAAACTCGACCCGTATTTAAAAGTTTCTTTTGCTTTAAAGCTCGGCTCGGGGTTATTTGGCAAATTTTTTGGACCCGGTCCCCAATTTTTATTTTTGGTTATTTTAGCCTCAAAATTTCAATTTTTTTAAATTATTATTTTGAACAATTTGTTCATATTTGTTTCAAAGTGAAATTGAAAAATATTAGTAGTAAATGAAATAGTAAACGTTCCATTATTGCATGATTTTTTAACTGATTAATTGATATAATTTATATAAAATTTATTTTTTAAAATCTTACCATTTCTCGGCCTATCCCTACTTTCACAGTTAGCGTGAATTCGCGGCGAAGTATATAAAACCCTAGTCGCCGCAAATTCATGTTAAATGTAAATGCAGGGTAACCCCTCAATCACAGTTAGCGGCGAGAAATAATGAAAGAGAATAACAAAAATACATACAGGGTAAGTTCGGTTCTGGACCGGACTATCAGGTCTATAAAACCCTGCAAATCATTTTAATCAATATATTATAAAAAATAATATATAATCTGTTCTTAATAAAATTTGGTTTATACTTTCTAAATCTTAACCTTGCATACGTTTTTTGGTGTGATTAAAATTAATATAAAAAAAATATTCCCTTTTTTTTTATAGGTCTATTCCCACTTTTATCATTTTAAATTTTCTGGTGCCTCGAGAATCTCATAATATGATATTATAATAATGTTTTTTTGATCTACATAATTTTGTTCTCTTTTTTTTGTCCGACTTCAAAATATTTTGAAAACTAGCAGTTATTTTTTTTCTTCTAACTTTTTCGGCCTATTGGGAGTATTGGACAAATACCAAGATGATTTCTATGTAAATTTAAAAATGTTTCTAATTTAACACAAATTTTATTTATTAATAAATTGATCTAAACAAGAATTATTCTGAATAAAATAGAAGGAGAGATGGAAGCGATAAGGGAAATAGTTAATCATAAATTCTTATGAAAAATACGATTGTTTTAGAAAATATTTGCTTGGGTAAATACACCAATAAAGATGTTGATTGCTTAGGTTTTCGAACGTTAAGGTTTCTAAGAATATACCATTAAGAAGAAAGAAAGAAAGAAAGAAAGAAAGAAAGAAAGAAAGAAAGAAAGAAAGAAAGAAAGAAAGAAAGAAAGAAAGAAAGAAATACGTTGCTATGAGTATTCTTCAAGTTCAGAAAAAATAACTTTTCATGGGTCAGGTTATGGTTGTAAAATATAATAATAACGGTTATGTTTGAACCTTTAAAAAACTAGCTCAAACCTTTTCGCATACAAATGTATTGAAATTATGTAAAGAAAAGAACATTTTTAAAATTTAAAATTTAAATATTTTCAAGATTCTATTCTGTCAAATTATATATTATGAGGAGGAATAATAAATTTTATAACTTAGAACACTTCTATATGGCAACTTGGGTAGCTGGCACCTTCAAATATCTAAAATTAATGACTGATAACTTGTCAGCAGCACTGGGCCGAGACTTTTGACGGCCCCTTAAAAAAGCATAACTTACCTAAGCTTATTTGATATAATTTTTTGCAACAAGAACTATAAGCATAATGCTTTATTTTATTCATGAATGAGAAGCGCGTATCATAAAAATGAATATAATCATAAACTAAAATATTGCAATTTTATTTATCCTCCTTGTCTTTTTTATTTGCAAAAGAGGTTATTATATAATCTAACGATGAGACTATATCATTTTTTTTAAAATTGAAATTAATGTGAGCAACAAGTCGGTCTTATGTAAAATCGTAGGTAAGTTTTAATTAATTTGAGCGTTGGGAAGCTGCGTTTTGAGAATACCCCGCTAATTGGAATGGTTAAAATAATCCTTATAATGGATATATTTGGTAAGGCCTCATTTAACCCATTGGTGTTAATATTGCGTAAAATTTTCAATGGGTTTTTATGGGATGCTTGCTTAGTATATTCGCATTAATCATGTTTAAAGAGTTAAAATATCGTAGGGCTTAAACTGGATCATAAGCACATTTTTAGAGGTTCGTATCAGGTGACAAATTTTTTGACCGCTCAGGTTCTGTAAATAATAACGGTTAATACCGGTTTAAAAGTTCGGATTGAATCCATGTATTTTTCTAAAATAATAATGGTAATTCGGCTTTTAAGTCAAATCATCATGAAATTTTTTTGTCTATAGTATATTGTTTTTCATAACTTATAACCCACCTTTATAATTTCCTGAGTGGTAATCTAACCTTTATACTGATTCAACTTATAAATTTTTTTTTAACTGATGCGAAATGTTTTATGTTTTAATGTCTAAATAACCTTCATTTTTTTTTCACCACTGCAATAAGTGCCATTCATCTCTCCATTTGAGCCGCATTTTTAAAACGGCTATGAAGATTTTTTTTCATAGATGGCATATAAGTTTGGACATCTATAAGAGAAATCTCGAGGTTTAGGGAATATTTTTCTTGCTAAAATAGTGAGTTAGCCTTTTTTAAAAACTTGCTTAAATAGAGCGATTTTGCATCGCCAACTGCCGCATCAAAACAGAACTACTTAGATAGATATTAAAAACAAATATGATTTTTAATATTCAATTTTATATAATTAAGTAGTTAATATTTTTTAATTTGCATTTTTTTTTAAACGAAATATAATATTTGATATAATATTATTTAAAGAAGTTTTAAAAAGATTTCTGGAAAGGTAAATCAAAATTCACTACTAAATTGAATATATTTTTTCTTTTCATAAAAATAAATTATTATTTAAAAGAAGAAATTTTGACTTTATGCCCAAATATTTGGATTTGAAAAGAAGGTGCAAAATAATTTGTTTTTTTTTATCAATCTTTATGATTGCTAAATAGCTTGGATTTATTAAATTATAGTATAAATTATTTAAAATATGAAAATCAATTTAAGTAAAATAGGCTAACTTTTAGAAAAATTAAATTATGCGTTTCAATTTTAGAATATTTAAAAAAAATTTTCCTTTAATATCAAACTTAAAAAGGTATGCCACAAGAGCTTTATTCGATGTGGATCCAATATCCCTACCCCTTCGGGGATTTCATGTGTTCCTTCCGAGCATTAGTATCAGAGATGACTACTTATTCATCCATTCTATGCATAACGGCTTTCACAGTAGAACGCTACTTTGCAATATGCCACCCTTTCAAACCTCACATACTATCAAACCTACAGAGGGTCATAAAAATCATAGTGGGCGTTTGGTGCATAGCCATAGTCAATGCTATCCCTTACTCCTTGTTCACAAAAATTAATTACGTTTGCGACTTCGAAGACAAGCCCATCAGTGAATCGGCCTGGTGTGGGGTCCCATTTTCGATGAGCCAAGGCAAGTACATTCCCCTATTGTTATGGTCGGCTTTCGCCTTCTTGGTAGTGCCTATGGCCGTTCTAGTCGTGTTATATATAAAAATCGGACTCAAAATAAAAAGGTCCGCACACGCTGATATTATTATACCTGTTTACAAGCAAAATCGGAATTATCCAAACATATTTAAATATAACCCGAGAAGGAGTAGGCGTGATAAAAAGAGCTATACTTACAATAATAGTATCATTAGTGATATTTCTACGAGCATCGATGTTACGAGCAACTGTAACACTGCTATCAATTATCTTACTAATGAAAAAGGGTTTGATATAATCAAAACATCTAATAACAATATGGATAATGAAGCTATGGATGATGAAAAGATCCCTAACATTACCCCTGTTACACCCATTAAAAGTTATATAATGCAGTTCAGGAAACCCTTAGGAAAACAAAATTTTCCTAGATTAAAGGATCAAAAACAAAAACTAAAATTTGGATTCAAAGACTTGCGTCCTTCTGATGTAAAATCAAATCAAAATCATGAGGTAATCGATTCAAATATCAAGAGAAAAGGCAAAAAGTTTACTAATTGGAGGCAAAATTTTAAGAGTCGATTGCAAGTAAACCACAGAAGAGGGAACCACATACAAAAATCTTCCAAAAGGTCTAAATCTTTCATGCTCAGATTTATGAACATTAATCAAGATATAGGTAACAAACTTTACAATTCTCACACTTGCTATGAGAACAGAAGTGCCTCCAATTCTAATCACAAAATAGATGACGAACATCTTCCTGCTTCAAACATATCTTCCGAAAGCGCTTTAACAAAAAACGCATCCGAGATGGATATCGAATCCGAAACTCCTCCTACTTCTAACTCAAGTTATTATAAGTCCTCGCAGAACGAAAACATAATGGAATTCAAGCCTAGGCAAGTCAATAACAATTTATTCCAACCTCGAAATACAAAAGAGAGTTGTGAGAACCATCAGGTAGAATCGGGTATGAACTGTAATTTCAACAATTCCAACGGTATTAGTGTCATTAAAAACCATTTGAGCGAAATTTGCTCTAGTCCCGCTCTCAAAATGCGCCAGTCGAACGACGTTCCAAAAATAAAGTTATCTAGGGTTAAGAGCAAGGATTCCAAAATTCCTAAGCGGGATTCAATTTTAAAAATGTCTCGAAAATTTATAGTTTACAAAAGGCGACCCATCATTTTATCTTCTATAACCAAGAGTTACCAAAAAAGGAATCGTTCAAGAACCGACGCTATTAAGATGTTAGGTAACTTAATCGAAATTTCAATTTCTAAAATGAATACAATTTTTTTAAATAATCTCCCCTTTTCCCCCTTATCTTTATTATAAAATATTTGCAAATTGCAAATGTCAAGTATTGGTATAAGTGGACTGGGAGCAAATCGGGCCAAATTTTGTAAAATTCCTATAAAGTGTTTAAGATGTTGAAATAATATAATCCACTATTTAAACGTCGGTTTTACTTAAACTTTTGTCTAATATAATATGATGAAAACTTTATAGTATTTAAAATTTTTCTATTATTTAACTTTATACGGTTCCCAAAAAAGGATGCTCGTCAGAAAACAAGAATAATATAAATTTTGCGTATTTTTTTTAATAAATTTAGTTGGATATTTTCATATGACTGCACAAAATGGCAAAAAAAAATTGCTAATGGGCAAAATATAGATATTGGACATAAATGTTCCTATATTCCTTTACTGTTCTCTTCACCTATTGCAAAAGCTAATATAAATAATATAGGAATGTTCTATCAGTCATGATACCAAATTATGTGTCATGTGATAGAGGTTAGTCTTTAATTTTGGTATAAAATTTATCTGCCTCAGTTTGATCTTTAGAAATCGGACCTTAAGAGTATTAGATTTTTTTGGCCCAAGTTAATTTTAAAAAATAACGAGAAGATTCATTCTTAAAAAAAAGTAAGTAATTACAGTTATATTTTATAAATTATCATCTTTATCTAAAAAAAAAGGTTTTGCAATATGCGCTGGTCAAAAAAATTTAGTAAACGTTTCCAAAAAAATCGAATACGTTCACCGTTCACCTTCAGAAAGGAACGCGTTTACGTTCGTTCAAAACTTTCCGAATAAATTTTTTTTTTTTTAAATTTCGTTTAATATTTAATTTAATATAAATATACACCACATATGTTTTTATCACAATATATTAGCCATGTTAAAAATTAAAAGTTTTAAAGTCATTTTTTTAATTTTTTTTATTTTTCAAATGAATAAAAATAAGAAGATTTTCTAAAATTGAACGAACGTAAAAAAACGAACGCATTCGTCAAAAAAAAAGGAACGCGTTCACGTTCAAAGTTTGTCAAAGTCAATGACATATATAATATCTAGACTGACGATTCATTCATTAAAAGTGTACATCAATGCAAATCAGCTGGAGAAGCCATCTTGGTTACACTAATCATTATTAAAATTTTAAACGAGAGCCTAATTTATTCCTATATCTGATGCAAACTCTATTAAAGAATTACCGGATCATCGAGATAATAAGGAAGCAAGTTATCAATTTAATAATAGTTTTTAACATGAGAATAATTACTTTATGTGTTACCAAAATGGCGGGTCTAACTGATTTGCTTTTAACGACGCTTAAAAATGCATTTTAATGAATGTATCGTCAGTCTAGGTATCATATATGTCATTGGTCAAAGTATAGAAACGTCGTTCATCATTTTATTCAAGAAAACGAACTTCGTTCACGAACGCGTTCAATTTACAACACTACATTTACATTTCCGTTATCTTTTTTTTTCAAGGAAATAAACAAAGTAATATTCTTTTTTACCCTAAAAAAAATATATAAATGTAAAATATGATATTTATTTTTGAAATAAAAAAATTGGGCTATATAAATTTAAAAGATAAACTATTTTCAAAATTGGTATCTAAAAAGCGTAATTCGTTTTTCTTCAAAAATAAGTTTTCTTAGAATGCACAAACGTTCTGAAGGAGTGCTTGTAAGTGAGACATTGTTTAATAAAGGGTAATTTTAAAATTAGGAAATTAGCATAGCAAAGATTAATGCACGTGATATATATAAATATTTATTATATTTACCTTTAAAGGTAACTCGAAAAGTATCCAGTTACTTATCTTTACATTCCATAAAATGCCACTAGTTATAAATATTTTTTTTGGAAAAAAAAAATGTTTACAGTAACTTTAACAACACTTAGAGATAGCGCCTCACTCATACTGTAATTATATTTAAGATACGCTTGGTTTTAAACTTTGATATTTCTCATATAAAAAAAGTATTTTTGTGTCACATGCCCTGATTATTTCCACTCTAAATTGTTCTTTTTTATAAGAGAGAGCGAAAGAAAGAAAAGCTCTAAAAAGCTTTAAAAAAAGGTCAGATCAAAAAAAAGTATCAAATGCTCAACAGAAAGTTGTATGAGGAAAAAATAGTTTATTTATTTAATTTCTTTTTAAAAAAATATTAAAAAATAATAGTTGCGGTGGTGGTCACATTTTTCATATGCTGGGCTCCTTTCAACGCTCAAAGATTATTTTTCGTATTCGTAAAAGAATGGACACCGGAAAGAAAGGCAACCTTGGAGAAACTATACAATATCACTGGTATGACAATTATTTAATATATTTTTTATAAAAAATATCTAATAATGTTCTAAGGTTGAGTGGTTGGGAAACTCATGCAAAACAGTAGCCCTATATTAGTATTTCTTCTTCATAGTTATAAGTAGTATACGAATGCGTATATAGTTATTAACTTGATTCAATGGTGTGCTCTTAGACAGAGTATGACCTTGCTCGATTTAATTTCTTTCTATTAATTTAAGCCTGAAAATTTTAAGGGAAAAAAAAAATTCATTAAAAAAAAATAAATTATATTATTTAATATAAATATGACATAAAACTAACTTTTCGTGCTACATGTCACAAGGTGTGATAAAAGATCATCATTGATGATATATTCATTTGAATCAATTTTAGAATAACTATAATGATTCAAAGTCATAGATTATGACCTATATGAAGAAGCTCAAGATGCGGGTTCGAACCCTTGTCAAATATTAAATTAGTAAAAATTAATTTAAATCCCAACTAAATACACGCAGTGGAAGCTCGTATCTTCATTTTTTTAAAATATACTCGAGCCGGGCCTAAAAATCTTTTTAAATAGTTCCCGACCCGATGAATATAATATATTTTAAAAAGATCCGGGCCGAACCAGAAAATTATTTTTTCTAAAAATATCATGACCAGGCCTGAAAATTTAAAATCCGGGCCGGGCCTGGCCAAAAAATAAAATCCGGGCGGTTACTTGCCGAAAATTAAAAAAATTTGAGCCTCGCCGTGCAAGTGGTACCTCTGCAGGTCTCGAGTTTATATATTATAGCAATAGTAGAAAACTCTTCTTCGATAAAATAAGATAAAAAAATATTCGGTGGAATTATTTTTTTGATTCTCAAGACTGGAACGAAGAGAATATTTTGGCATTAAATTAGTCAGCTCTCAGAGGAATCAGCCTGAACTTACTAAAGAAATTGTAAATAAATCGAGTAAAGGAAAATGTTTAACATAAATTTTGCCAATTTTTTGGAGATTAAGGAAGTGTTAAAGTTCATTGAATGATTTTTTTTTTATTATAGTATAGTTTTTAATTTATCTTATTGCCAATTATGCAAACCAAATTATGCATATATATTTAAGGGGCTAATATAAAAATGTATATAAAAACGTTTTTACTATTCTTTTTTTTTAAATAAAAATTTCATGGACAAAATTAAAATTACCAAAAAAAAAACTTTATTTGTAATATTTAAAGATGGAGACTTGATGAATCAATCATACATAGACTAGATGCAAATTTTAATTAATTCAGATTTTCCTTTTTTTTTGATTAATTATTATACAGAAGTTGCCATTTTATTAAACACCAAGCTTATCTTATTAATTGAATTATACTTTTCTTAAGTAAAAAGGCATAATGATTAATCTAAAATTAATTTTTGAGAGTTTTTTTTGTTGAACGTTACTTTTAAATCGCCACTATTTTTTCCTATTGTATAGTAATTAAAATTACTTCCTTTTAAAACTGCGGAAAAAAGCTATATTTTTTTTAAAATATCGCTAATTATAATTTTGGAACTTCCTTTGAGTATATCTTAAAAACTAAAGAACTGCAGGAAAAGATTTTCTAGGCGGTAAAAGATACTTACTTTTAATCAATTTCAATCAAAATAGAAGTTAGAAAAGACCTAGACAAAAAAATCACTTAAAAATCAATTTTTCTCCCATACAATTATATAAAATAAAGCAGGAGATGCAAGAAACACTTGGTAAAAATCTTTATAATTGAATACCTCATTACATTTACTGTTTTAGTGTCAGTTCCCTCCCTACCTAAATTCTCAATTATTATCAATTGGCCAATCCTCTATGTTAATCAACCAAAATATAACTATCTCTAACTCGGATTAGCTACCTAACAAAAATAATCTTTATTGTATTCAATATTGTAGTCTCATATTAACATAAGAGGAAGCCGACACTAAAAGTCTGCAATGGATGGGCTAAAAAAATATTCAATGTGGGGTGAGTTAAAAAATTAGTTTTAACAATGGACAGTCGATAGGCGAGTGAGTTTGAAATTTATTTCGAGAGAAATGAACAAATCATACTTCTATTTATTAAAAATCATTTTTTTTTATTTCATAATTTTGCAATTATTTTATTTTATATAAGAATAAGTAAAAATATTGATAAAATAATTTTAAAACATTGGGCAGACGGGATAAACATAATTTTTAGATAAATGGGAAGGAGTATGATCGGGTTAAAACCCGGCCATGACCTCTATTCTACGATGTCCGGCTAAAAGGATATATGCTCTCTCCCTCCTTAACATTGCAAAAGACTATATTTGACACATAAAAATAAATATTTTTATCTAAATTTATTAAACTTTAAAAATAATTATTAATTTTTATATTTGAAAAAAACAACAACTATAAATTAGGTTGTCTATTCTACGCTAATTCAACAGTCAATCCAATTCTTTATAATTTGCTCTCTAAAAGGTTCAGAAATGCCTTCAAAAATATCTTATGCACCTCTTGCCACCCAAAACCAAAGCCATTAAAAACAGGACTTTTAACGTTTCATCACAAACCGATTCACCGAAATAATTTTTAAATGAAAAAAAAAAAGATTAAATTTTTAGCTCAAATAAATCAATTTTAAAAAAATAAATAATTTATATTAATTGATATAGGTTATTATTATATATTTTTTAGTATATAAATTTGCCGCTTTCCCTTTACAATTTCCCGGTTTTAACAATATTAAAATTTCTAGTCTTTCGGGGAAGCCTCGTGCAAGCAGGTTTTTATATTTTAAAATATATGGCATTCAAATGATTAAAATTTTTTAAGCCCCACTTATTATAATTAAATATTTTTATATAATATATATATTTTTTTAAAATTCGAATATTTTTAATCAATACTATATATATATTTTTCGCTAAATGCTCCCAAAAATGCTTAATAAAAAGATATCGTCAAAGAACAAATTATGATTATTTTTTGACAAATTTAATTTAATACTAATCGTTTTCATTTATAACTATCTTCTCAATGTATTTTATATTTATTTAATAGACATAAAAAATAATATAAAATTTTTTCCCAAATTATAAAGTATAATCCATCCTAGATATCTAACAATTTATCATGAATCTCGGTATTAGTTTTTCCTACTATTTTATTCTCTCCATTGCGAATTTAGAACAGGTAGAGGCATCCGAGGTAAAACGATCAATACTTTATTAAGTAAAGTTTAAGAACCATCAGATGGGGAAAAAGACCAGATTACATAAACCTTAGTATTTGGAATGTTGTAAACTGGAATTGTCTCGCTTATTTGTATGTGTGTGTGGGGGGGGGGATTTTTTAAATTACAAAATATTTTTCAAAAATATAAAAAATGGTTCGATTCACCTTAACAAAAAAGGTATAGTAATAAAATATATATCAGCCTAGCTTTTAATAATTACTAGTATACTCCAAAGTCTTTGAGTGGATACAATAATGGCGCCTTTAGAAGACGTAAACAGTTATCCGAGCTCGGGTAAATAGGAAATATTTTAAAATGGAATTACCTTCCTTTTTGCCTAATTTTGGATAAAATTAAATATTTTTATTAAACAAAAAAGAATAAAAGGGACCCCCCCCCCAACTCCCCCATTAGTTGAAGAGAGGAGCGTTTAATTGGGAACACATCTTTGTAATTTTTTGAATTGTGATGGAAACTTTATAAAAAATTTGTAAAAGGAAATATTTGTGATTTTAAGGTCAGATTAAAAACCGTTTTAGTTTATATATTTTAATTGCCATTAAAACAATTTTTTTTAAAATTGACTTAACTTTATCTAAGGAAAATTTCGATATATACTTTTCCCAACTTAATTTATTTTGTAATAAGAATCGATTTTTTTTATAGAGCTAAAACCTTTATGTAATCTAAAACCTTTTTATATAACCGTTTGGGTCCCCATTACCTTTTAATATTTCATCACAATAATCTATCCTTTATAGAAATAGACTACGCTGAACCCACAGACAATTAAGAATAAACTCTTTTGTGGTTTATTATATAATGAATATCATAAATTTACACAAGAATAATTTTTAATAGGCAAATTTAGAAAGAGTTTTTATCTATTTACTTTCATCATACATGACAGTAAAGGTAATTTTTTCAAAGTCTATATTTAGATGAGGAGCTATTATTATATTCAATCCATGTGACTGGATTTATTTATTTTATAAAAAATCAAAACACACTAAGTGGTTCTCTCCTACTATGTAGTGTCCTTAGGAGTTAGGACAGAGTTATGCATCCTGAGACTAAATGCAAAGTGATTCAGGGGCATTACTAGCCTTTACATTTCAGGGGCTCAAAAATTGTTTTTAAATTATTTTTAAAATAATCTTTTTTTAGCTATTCAAAAGTACCATTTTATGGCATAAAAATTAATTTTTAAATTTTCGGAGGTCTCCAAATTTTTTGGGGGTTAGAGCCCCTGTTCCCCCATTCTAGTGACGCCACTGGAGTGATTATATAGAATAATATTTAGTAAAAAATTACGACCCATTGAAATATTCTAAAAAATATAATTATTGACCCATTAATATTTTAAACATCAAATTGTCTTTGAAAAATTTTTAAACCCCATAAAAATTTTTGTTAATCGCCTAAGCTTCTGCATATTTAAGGCATAGAATGAGGTTCTCTATGATTAAATAATAATAAATTTTCCACTTTTAGTAAGTTTTGAATCGAATATAAAATGACTAAACCGAATTTTTAAGAGAAAACATAATCTGAGCTTTAGATAAACTTAAAGATTAGCTCAATCTTGAAAAAATACCTCTTCAGCTCAAGGCATAGCAACATTTTTTGACAATTAGGAATGAGCCGTTTAGCAACAATATTGTTCATTTTATTTTAGGTAGGTTGCTAATATAAATACATCTATTTTGATAGAAATGATGAATTGGATTATAACTGTGGTATTTCTCTCCCTTATTAACACTTTTTAATAAAAAAAAACGATCAACTCATTCAACGCAATTTTCTTATTTCAAATATTTTGTTTCAACTCCTTAAAATTTAATTAATTTCCACACTTAAATTTTTGATAATAATTTTCTTATTTAAAAAAAAAAACTTACTTCAACTCCTCTTTTTTCTTTTTGATTTTCTACAACTCTTTATCTCTTTTTTTTACAACTCCTTTTTTTTTATCCTTTATTAATTTTATTTTTCAAAAATTTAATCAAAAAATATAATGAACTTAAAACAAAAATTTTCTTTTTCCAACAACTTTTTCTTTTTTTAAAAAAAAACAATAATAATAATAATAATTTCAATATTATAATTTTTTCTAAAATAAAATCAATAAAATGTAATTAATTTACGATAATTATAATACGCAATCAATAAAATGTAATTAATTTAAGATAATTATAATAATAACTTTTTACAAGTTTTTTCGATTTCCTTTTAAATTTTTTTTTTTTATTATTTCTGATATTCAAATAAAATCTTTCCACATTCTCTAAAATACAAGTATCTCACTAACCTTCACAGCCTCAATGTTTATCTACATCGACATTACATTAATCCCAATAAATGTTATTTAATAAAACAAAAAATATAAATAATTGAAAACTAATTAAGTTATTTCATAATTGAACACAAAAATCAATTTAAAATATTATCATATTAAAACCACAAAATATATTAAACTTCCACATACAATTATAGTCCTTATCCTAGATCACTATTAGTTAATTAATATCAAGCAACGATGACATCAAAAAATTATTATGGTAGGAAATTTAACATGTTGTCAGTCAAAATTAAAATAAATGTTTATCACTTTTAATTATATTGATATAACATATAAATAATATGAATGGGGGTCATATTTTCTTGTTGTGGTGAAAGCCAAACCTATGATACAGTTACTGAAGTGAATTTTTTTTTAAAAAAATACTAAATCTTATTATTTTAAATATAAAGCAAAATAGAAATCACCCACCTAATCCAAATCAGGTATATTTTAGTTTAAATTTTAATCTTGAATCATTATATTGTATTTTATAACAACTAATAAGCATAGTCTGTATAAAATTTGTATTGACTTAATTTTATTTAAGTGAAATATTAATATTAACATATGACTTAATGTTTATATCATATTTTATTTTTAAGCCTATTAAATATATAATTCATTAGGCAGTAGTTAGGGAACAAGTACTAAGTGCTACTCAAAAAAGATTAGAACAAATGGAATCAAGGGGTATAAAAGATCCACTCTCATTGAAAGAAAAGCAAAAAAAGGTCCAAGAGATGGAAAGATTGGAGAATGAAAGAATGTCTAAGGGAGAAAATCTTAAGCATGAATCTAATTTAAAAGTTATAACTAGTGTTAATTGTTCATAAAACATAAGCTAGAGTCCTGCTAGTTTCCCAAGCCCAAATTATTAATTTTTTTAAGCCTAAACCTTGCCGAGTTTGAAATATATTATTAAAAATAATTCTTTGTCCTTATCAGAGATAAACTCTAATTAGTACTTTGTTTTGACAAACCAGACAAAACATTATTTTTTAAAAAAATTATTTTCCATTAAAAAAATTTTAGGCCTGGGCCCAACCCAAAATGTTAAAAATTTTTTAGACTTAGCTCCAGGCTAACTTACACAGCTCTAATTTAGTCTAGGTTAATTTTTCTGAAGGATTTATTTTTTTTGTTTACTTAAGGTTAATTTGTGAGTATTTTAAATTTATGAATAGATTGAAATGCCATTTTGATTTATTTATAGGGCTTACAAATTTTATTTATTGATCTGCTAAATAATTTATTTTGTATAAACAGGATTGGAATAATTGAAATTCAAGATCAATTTGTTGAACATGATTTTATATTTAAAATCAAATTATATGATGCTTTTATTCATTCCATTTATATTATAAACAAAAAATATATATAATTTCTTTAAATTTACATATTATTTTGTATATTAAAATAAATAAAATGTTTTAAATTTTTATGATACAAATTCATTTTTAAAATAAAACATTTTTAAAACTAGCTCTTCTCCCCAATTTTTTTTTTACATTATTAATATATCACAATAAGTAATAATTTAAATAATTGTTTTTCATTATGGATTATTAAAAAAAATTAGATCATTGTAATTGAGAGGGATTTAAAAATATTTAATGAGTTACATTCAAATAAACAATTCCTATATTTTAAATGAGATGATTAACTTTTGGGGGAATAAGAAAACAAAATATATTTATTTATTTGTGATGATTATAATTGAATAATAGCTGATTTTTTTGTCTAAGGCTAGGTCTGGGCCAATTTTTCTTGGTTAAGCCTGAGCCTATTTTTTTTGGCTAAGACTAAGCCTAAGCCAATTTATTTTGGGTAAGTTTAGGTAATAGTCAATTTATTTTAGCCAAATGTCACCTCTAATAATTACATAATTATTGAATTTAAACTAAAACAAATATAATATATTCATTTATAACTATTTTCATTAAAAAAAACATTGGAAAAGTTTTAAAATGGTGAATGTGACAATTGTCACCTTTCTTAATATTCTTGAATCCACTAAAACAGATTTAAAATATTCATTATTACCATTTTTATTAAAAATCATTGGAAAAGTTTTATATTGACGAATATGAAAATTTATTATATTTCTACTAAAACAAATTTAAAATATTCATTCTAACCTAATTTTTCATTTAAACATATTGTAAAAGTTTTAAAATGATGAATATGACAATTGTTATCAGTAAAAATTAAATTATTATTAAATTTACAGTAAATCAGAGCGTTAGCCAATCAAAATCAGCTTAAGCTTAACCTTAGCCAATCAAAATAAGCTCAGCCTTAGCCAAAATAAAGCGACACAGGTTTACTCATGGCCAATATAAATCAAATTTAATAAAAGAAAGAAAGCTTAGCTTACCTCAACTTGAGCGATGATCACCAACATAAATCCCTCCTAATCTCTTAATTTCAACAACTCTGGTCATGAATGGTTAGATTCATATCCCAGTATTTTAAATTACCAGCTAATAGATAGCGCATAAGGTGTACCTTTCTTAAACAATTATATTTGCATTAAATGCAATCAATCGGCAGACACGTATCGCTCTCCACTGCAAATTTATATCAAAAATCAGCCGACATGATAAAATAAATGCAATAATAGCTTCTTTTTTTAAATGACGTCAAGACCGTCGTACCTTTTTTCATAGGAAAGCCTTTAATGTGGGATTTTACCTGCATTGATCCCATAGCCCCATCTAATAATTCACATGATCCACTTAAGCCGAATCTCTAAAAAATATAAAATACTCATGCCTAATGTGTGATAACCACTTTGTTCCTATAGCAGCTACATCAAGCGGCCCTAGATCTATTAAACAAACTCAATCCAGAAAATCGCCATATCTATAATTAGATCTAATTATCAAATATTTAAAACATCATGGCCCGACCTCGTCATTTGGTACTTTTTTTTTAAATGTTTTTTTCTTTCTATAAAAATATACATTTATATCAATCTTCTTTTTTTAACTTAAACTGATATATGACATATCTCTATATATAATAGCCGTATTCAAGAAATGAACGTTTTCCTATCTTTATAACGTTAATTTTTTTTGGTATCAACTTTCATATCTTCATAACGTTAATTTTTATTTTTTCTATCAACTTTCCTATCTTCTTAATGTTAAATAAATCGAGGGCTTTTATTATCTCGGTATTGTTAAATTTTTTTTTCTTACTCGGGGATTCGAAAAAGGCAAACGTTCTTTCCGTAAGGCAAACGTTCTTACCGTTCAGCCCCTTTAAGCTTTATATTTTGTTATAAAAATCTTTATTTATATTTGATTTTTTAAAATTAACTAAATTTAATCAATTTTATTTTTTTCATTGGATTATTAAGCTCTATGAAATTATAATTTGTAATTAATTACAAATTATATTATTAAGAAAACCTTTTACAAATTTAATAAGTATTTTAAATGGCAATAAAAAATCGTTATATTAAATACTTAATACAAATATATATCTTACAAATTATATTATTAAACAGACACTACAAATTTAGTTCAAATACTTAATTTTCCTATACTTAAGTAATTTATTTATGTTTTTTGCTACGGTTTGGATCTTCATTTTTTAAATAAAACATTAATAGCCATTTTTGGGATTTTTACTGGTAACAAAATTGGGAACATCCCTTTTTTTGGCTATTTATAGTTTAGCGATTTAGAACCGATACCGGCGTTAATTCCGCGCTTATAGTAATGGTTGTAAATAATTATAAATTTTTTTTTCACATTTTGTCTCTTTTTCCTATATTTCTACCTTCTTTTATTCATTCTTTGCTCCCCTAAAACCCATCTCCCACCTTCCGCGGTGGCCGCGAAATGCTGACTAACGGGAGCTCTGGTGTTATTAGTTATTATTATGCCCTTCGCTAAAGGCGGGTAATAATATTTTTCCCAATATTTAAATCAGAAATTAAGAATATTTTATGAGGTATCATTTACAAATTTACCTCTTTTTCTACTAAATTTTAATATAATATAAGGTACAAGTTTAATATCCAATATTTAAGAACATTAATTCCCGTCATTCTTGACGGGCTATCAACTAGTTTTATTATATTCTCTATATTATAAAGTTAATTTTTAAATAATAATATTTTATCATATTTGTATATGAATTTTAATAAAAAATTCAATTTAAAAAAAAAAATTATAAAATCATGTTTACTTTATCAAGTCCTTTATTCAAAATATAATTTACAAATTAAGTTAAAACATTTTTTTGTTAAAAATTATGCTATAAAAAATGATTTAGAAATTTTTTTTAAAAAATTGGTAAACTAAAATCATCCTTAATAATGCACATAAAAAAATGAATGTAGAATCATTTTGCACTTTAAAAAGATTCAGAAATGTGAATATTAATTTTAAAAAATTTGATAACATGGTAGGATTTTAAAAACACTTTTTTTGACTAAACTACGCAATTTCCTATTAAAAAGGTTCTGATTTAAAAAAATTTAAACAATTTATTCTATTATATTATTCACAAATAAAAATACATATAGTCAGAATAGCTTATATTTTCAAAATTAATATAAATATTAAAATAAAATATTTTAATTATATAAAAAAATAAATATACAATCATGTTTAGTTTATTGAGATGCTATAAAAAGTGTTATTCATAATTTAAAAATAAATGATTAAAATATTAAAAAAAGCACCGAATCCTAAATAATTATGAGCTATTTTAAAAATATGAATGCAAGAATCTTGTTTAGCTTTTTAAAAGGCTCCAGAAAAAATGTTTATATTAACTTTTTTAAAAAAATATTTTAAATATCGGATTTTTTTATTTGACAAAACCACTCATACCCTGTAATTTAAAAAAATAAATATAAAATCATGTTTAGCTTTTCGAGGGAATTTAGAAAATGTTAATATTTAAAAAAAAAATTAAATATCAATTTTTTTTTGACTAAACTACTCATCCCCTCTTGTAGATGCGCAAATTTAATAGAGAAGCGTGTTCAGCTTAACTTGATGATATAGAAAATGTTATTTTTAATTTAAAATAACTAGTAAAATATTTAAAGAAAAACCCTTATTTTTGCTGACTAATTAATATGAGCATCACCATAAAAAACTCCTTGCATCCTAAATTTTTAACAAATTAATGCAAAATCATGTTTGACTCTTTAAAAGGATTCAGAAAATGTTAATATTAATTTTTTAGATTAGAGGTATGTAGAAAAAAAACACTCGTTCTTTTGACACTAGAAATCTTATTTAATTACATACAAAAAATAAATTAACAAATACATCTAACACTTTAAGGTGATCTGGAAGATGTTAGGTTAAATAAATATGTAAGTAAATTATTAAAAATTGAGATCATGAACAATTGCTTATTGATAAAAAATAAATATTGATTTAATTATCTTCAACATGTTAAAGTTATCCGAGAAATGCGAAAGTAGAGTTTTAAAGCACAGTGATTTTTTGACTACACTAATAATCTATACGAAATATCATTAGAGATATATTAATTAATTTTTTAAGTGGAATTATGTTTTACATATTGAATAAGAGCCAGCCTCAGAAACCATAATTATCTATCTAGTCTACATTTTTAAGCGCTAAAATCCAAAAATTTACTAAAAATAATAATATTTACTGAGAGCATAGATTTATGCATCGATGAGCATTAAAAATATGTAAAGTTCCTGAACCGGTAAAATTTTTGACCAGCACTGCCTCCTCGGGTAATTAAAGAAATAGAATTTCAAAATTTACATTGAATGTCAAAAATAAAATTTTAGCAAAAAAATAAATATTTTGTTGTGGTGTGACTAGTTAAGGGTCCGTAAAAATTTATCGGCTATTTGGATCTTCTTCTGTCCTTCGTTTTCCCGTCTACACGGAAATATGTAATAAAATTAATTTTAAAAATGATCTTGAAACGTAAAAACCGACTGAAAAAGTTGTAAAGGCTCTCGGACTGGGGCAAAAAATATGAGCGTATACTCTTTTGCATCATCCAGCTCGTAATAATTTCTTTGATATAAAGGGATAAATTTATTTAGTTACAAGTTTAAAAAATTTGAAAATTCCGGGCAAGCCAATAAAATATTTGCTCAATTTCGGGTTAGGACATGCTGACATCTATAACTAAAATTTGTAAGGTAACGAAAAGAGAAAGAAATAATTGCACCTTCTCAAAGGACAGTTTGCTTCTATCACCTTTAGATTTTTAAAAATTTAGCTTATAAAATAAGATTAAATACACTTGAAGTTCTTATTCTTTAGGCAGAACATACAAATAAACATGTTTAAATTTAACTATTGTTCCTCTTTAGGAACACTGATGTTTCTCTTAAAATTATTTTGGTCTGAAAATTGATTTACTTTTTTCTTTATAGTTTCATGTAATGCATTTTAGTTGTATATTTAATTAAGACGAACCCTTTTATGATATATTTTTGGGAAAAATAAGCAAAGGTAAGGATTTACTTTACAATAAATAAAAATAAAATTTTTGTTGTTATTATAGCAAGATTTTTTAATTTACCAATCGGCGATAAAAAATATAATATAAAAATAAAAGAGGTTGGATCTTAAATATATTCTTGGTTTGCAAAAATTAAAATAATTTAGATGTATATAAAATGAACCCATCAAAACGTGATTATCATTTTTTTTATAGAAAATACTCTATAAAAGGAGTATAATTCAGGGTTGTGTGTTTAGTTGGACATTTTGAGAACACTCTAAACAGAGACCGAATCAAAGGCAATGGGGCAATATAAAAACGGGGCGGGTTAGGACCTTTTTTAAAAAATCGGTTTCGATTAAGTTTCTGTTATCAAAATTTCCGATAAGTAGTTTAAAGTTCTTGAATCCGAATTCAGGTTCACAAATCTATGTAAAAATTATTAACAAAAATTTTAAAAAAATGAAGATTATTTTATAAGGTTTTGTTAGATGGGTTCCACTAAAAAAAATTATTCCAGGCTTGGAATCGAAATAAATTGTTTCAGACTGTGTCACCTGCTACAAAGAATATTTTATTTTGTATAAGAGAATTAACTAAAATGTTTAGATTTTGCGAAAAGCATCTCCGACGAGGAGTCATCAATCTTTTTTCCAAAAAATAGTTGAATATCATAGGAAATTTCCTGAGTTTGCCCGAGAATATAAAAGTTTTTAGATTTGAATTATTAATTTTATTAAAAAAATATATATTATAATGATCTTATTTCAGTTAAATATATTTTGTATAAATTTATAAAAGGTAATGAAATTAAAGTTACACGTAAAAAATAGGTCATAATTATAAATAAAATAAGTAAGAAAAAAAACCCATTAAATATTTTATTTTCTGTTCTTCTGTAACTGGTTAATTTTGTCACCCAAACTGAGTGCCATGCCCTAAAAAAAATTAATTTTATGATATTTATAGAAATTTAAAAAAATCTAGATTAAGACTGTTAATTAATACTCCTTTATGATATAAAATAATAAGTTAATTTTAATATTTTAAGCAAAAAAATTTTTTGCGATATTAAAGTAAAAAAATACAAATAAAAACTTGAGTTTTGGCTCTAATTCTGACGTGCCCCAAGATAGTGACAGACCGAACTGGAGGTGCAATTTCTTTATCTTCCATATCGCCTTCAACCTTATCTTCTTCAAACTTAGACGAAGTTTTTATATCGCTTATAGCTAAAATGAATATAAAAAAAACAATATAAATTAAAGAGGAAGGGAATTAGAGAAATTCAAGGCCTGAGATAATCTTTTAAATTTAATTTAAAATAAAAAGAATGGTAAATAGATAGCTAGCTCTACCGATAATTATTATAAAAAATTTCTTTTGTTTGATCGACAGCGGGACTAATATTTTTCAAATGCCAACCTTCTTTTAAAAGGCCATAAGAAATATAAAAAATATAGTCACATACTTACTAATAATAGAGTATATGTTTTCCATTATAAAATTAAAAGGGATAACTTTACAAATCAATGTCGCACTTTAAGTTTAGAATGACATTTTACAAGTTAAAATGATAATGTATATAGATAATAATCCAAAGAAATAAAATATGGAGAATGAGAAATCACGAAATTACTTTTTTCGAGGCACACGTTGGCCAAAGCGTCTTCGCCAAAAATGGATTTTGCGTAAAGGTTAGCGGCCAGGAAACCACAATCCCCCTTTAGTGCCTAGGTTTTCATCAATATGAATAAAATAAGATAAATTATTAACAAACACTCGCTTTCCTCTTATTCTAATTTAATCATTTTTTATGTTTAAACATTAGAATGTCACTCTAGATATTAATTTAATATGAAATATTTAGTGATCTTTGATTGTTATAAATCTATCCTAGAGGTTTGAAATCCCTTACCTTCTCCTTATCAATTTATTCTTTTCCTCCATCTCCTCAAACAACCATATTTAACCCCAGTATTGAATAAATACAGGATATATATAAAGTAAAAACATTTTGAAACTTTATGGATAAAAATGTAATTATAGATTTTAAAATATTTTTTCCTCACTGAATCTCTCTATTTCATTACGTTGATCCAATCCACCCTGATTATTTCGTAACAATTTTTAAATGAATGTATTTTTTTTTAAAAAGTGTCCTCAAGTAGATAACAAATGACAACCTGATGTGGGGTGAGGCTTCTCATACCGGTACCAGCTATCAAAAATTCTAAAAAATCGACCAATTCATCCTTTTCTTCTTCCAATGTTCCTTCGATTTCTCCCGGCTCTTCGATCTCATTTTCGGTTGATTGGAATTCCCGCGCTTTTGTAACATGGGCACCGCTATCCTGCTTGACGCTTCGACGAGATGTAACCACGCGATTCACGCAAACCTTTGTTATAAAAAATGATTGTTTATATTTTTCCAGAGGGATTTGGCTAAAACTTCCCATACAAACTAAAGTACACGTAACTAAAGTAGTGTTAATTTTACCATCATAGTTTTTTTATATTTTTGGAGATATCAAGGGCCAAAGTTTACGCTTATCGATTGCTATTCATTTAAGGACTAAAAATCAGATTTATAAATAAAGATTATAATATCAAAATAAAATGTATATTTGAAAAGTATTTTCTTTTATAATATGGTAGTCCACATTTACCCCATTTTAAAGTTTAAAATACAAAAAACATAATGAGATTCTCGGATATAAAATTTTTTGCAAATGTCACAAAGACCAATTTATATCAAGTTACTTAAGACAATGGTTTTATTTGTTCAATAGATAGCATATGTAATTAATTGTTCTGATATGATTTAAAATGAGATATTTTTAAAATAGGGAAACTACATTATATTTATGTAGAATTTTAAATTCGACAAAATTAAAAATACAAAAATACGAAGTTAGATTGTTTGAAAAATATTGTGATACATGTAATATGATTTTGACAGTATCATGAATACTCGTATATAAGATCCTTTTTGCATCTTATGCTCTGTATCTTTTGGATATTTTAATAAGATACATTATTTTCAAAAGCATCTGGTATCCTTTTCATTTTCTTGATATACAAGTACTTTTATCTATTTTTGTTTAAAAAATTCAATATTCACTTTAGCATTCCCCCCCCCCCCCGTGTATTCTTTTGCATTAATTTTGTTGTTTTTCTTTGATTATTGTTACGGAACACAATGTTGGTAAATAGTCAAATTCTAAAATGACACTTAAAATAAAAGGAATATAAAACCAATCCCTGAATGTAGCATAGTGGGGTTGATCTATATTAAATAGAGACGAGGGTCAGATTTTGACCAGGGTTGTGTTTTAAAAATAAGGTTAATTTTCAAACTGTCTCATCTGCTTGATTTTTATAAAATGGGATAAGGTTAGCTTCAAAATAAATACTTTTTAGCATATATAATAGCAGAAAATATATTTTTTTTATTTTTTCCATAAACAAGGAAATAAAGAGTTGAATATTTATTAAAGAGATTTATTTGTTTTTACTTAGAATTTCGAATTTGGGATATTCTTCATTATTTATAACAGCTTGAGTCCAAATTTAAGCAGAACTTTATTTTCATATTTCTAAGAAAATCATATACTACGATGGGGGGGGGGATATATAAATTTCTTTCAAATTATTTAAAATTAATCTCTTTTGTATGGTATTCTTTTCCATCACAATGATGATTATTTTAATACAATTATGGACAGGAAATTATAAAATTGAATTATCTAATTTTATATACAAAAATAAAGTTTGTATATCAAAAATAATGAATACCAAATTAAAAATATAAAGATAGGAAAGAAAAAAGAGGCTAATGTTACAGAACGCAAGGTGCTAGTAAATAGTCTTTGGCAAAAATTAATATTCTTTAATCTAGTTTTTATTTATATATATTGGGAATAAATAAGTTATTATCCACTTATAACTCAAAAATTTTGAAAATGTCGAGTGGGACACTCCATTTATAGACCGACGACATGCTACCCTCTCCTTAAAGTCAGTAACCTCACTGTTTGCTCCAAATAATTCACATAATTCAGCCGCCTAAATATCCATAATGGTCACTCATCTGATTCCATTCCACTGGAATTTAGGTCTGCCACTACTTATACTGAGGATATCCATCCCTTGCTACCAACGCCACATTTCCCTAAATAATGGACAAGGGCCTTGATTGCAGAGGTATGCCGAGTCTTGTCTGTGATGGCATTATCAACCGGACTGTAATATCCTATTCGCCCCCAAGCTCTCAAGAGCCCAAGGGAGAATTGATTCTTAAGTGATTTTTTGAACAGTGGTAGTAGCATGTCCACAAAGGATTACTCCCTCGTCCCTGAGAGCTTGATTACTAGGCTGGGCCAATTCTATTCTGATTCAGTCTTGATATCACCTTGTAATGGCTTTTGATCTGATGAAATTTCCGTCTTCATTTGATTTTTACTAAATTTTTATATATCTCTTAATTAAATTCCTTTTTTAAATGATCACTCAATTAAGAATAATTTTACTTCAATTAATTTAAAAATTTCGTATCCAAAAATTTAATAAAATTTACAAAAAATTAAGGGTATTTTTATCAATTACAGGTATAGATTGGTCTTAATGACATTTGCTTAAAATTTAATAAAAATAGGAGAAACTCAATAAAAGAATTCTAAACTTTAGAATGGGGTTTTAAATGGACAGCCACATTGATATAAAAATATATTCAAATATTTTAAAAAAATCGAATGCACATACTTAATTTTGATATAATAATCATTACTTTTGTAGTTTCTAGCAAATCTTTAATAGAAAGCATTAAAAATAGGTCATTCTTCGTACTTTGATCCCTGATTGATATCTTCAATAAGCGCAAGAATGAGAAAATTCGAATACTGCTTTCGCGAATTCGCGCTAAGTGCGAATGCAGGGTTAGTTATGTATACGTTAGTTTGTTATACAAAATTTCACTCAAAGCAAAAATCATTTTTTTTTGGTCGTTTGGACATGGAATCTCATTTTAACAAATATTCTCCAAATTATATTATAAATGTTTCCTCCATTCCTCGATTATTTAATATATATTTTCTAAAAGGCTGTTTTTATTTTTCATTCATAGCCTGTGTCCCCATTTTTCAATACAGAACCAAAATGATATACCAATCACCCTTTTTTTCTACACTAACGTATAAACTAAAAAAAAGTGTTACCTTGTTTTCCCATTCGAACTCGGACCACATTCGCCTGAAGGAGGAATCGGTGAGAGCACTGTCGTCACTACCATCACGTGATGCGATGACATAATCGGTGACATCCACCCGTATCTCCTCAAGGATGACGGCGTTTCTATCCTGAGCACCACTGCTACTGACCTCATAAACTTTATTTATTAATGTAAAGACAAGACATAAATATAATCAATAGGGTATGTGGTTGTGGCATGTCAGCTAGATATACCAATAACATTGATAAGAATGCAAAGATATAATTGCCAATATTATAATTTTTAAATTCATTTTTCTGAAATTCGCAAAAATTAAATTAAAATGAGAATGAGTATCTCTGCTTTTTCCCTCACCAGCCACAGATTAAAATAAAAAATGAAAACCTATATTTCCGAATATGATTCCATTTTCGGTAGAGGAGACCTTGACAGAAGCCTTGATGTTACAAAAATCGTTGGGGGGCAAATTGAGGGGAGCGGGCTTATCCACCAGTTTCAAATCGCCTTAAAGATAAAAAATAAAATTTTCAATACGTTCTTTATTTACGATTCAACATTATGATATACATTATACGTGGTAAATATAGTAATATATGTTAAAATTTTTTATGTGCATAATTTTGATATATTATATATCTATTAGTTACATAAATATTGGATTATGGGATCGAGTAAAAATATTATACCATTATATCTTCCCCTCTTCCTTAACTCTTTAATTTCAATTATCTTCCTTCCCAAAAAACTCTAGCAAGTCCTGGGTTGCCATGAGTAACTCCATCCCTTTTTCCAATGATTCTTGTGCGCTTGCCCTGTTTTCACCCCTCCTCTCAAGCACTTTTTGGGCCATCAATTTATAAATAGTCAGGTGGGCCACAACCATACCACACTCTTCCTTCCTCAAACTGTTTTGCTAACCTCATTAACCGGACTGACCGATTCCGATAATAGCTATTGTCTCTTATTGTCAAACATATGCTCATCTCCCCGTGGCCGATCTCTCCTATTGGCATCTCCGGCCTTGCAGTTTATACTTCTTGCCTTCGCCATCCAGTCATCCGCCGGTGGCTTGAATATCCTGGATATGAAATTGAGCTGTTTACTCGGCCCCTAACTTCCCATATCATGCCCTCTTGGCCGTTTTTCCCTTCTCTGAGTTCTAGCATTGTCAACCATTCATCCGTCAACGGCCTAAGGACTTTGTTTATGAGTTAACCTTCATTACTTGATCTCCCATTTCTAGGCATTCCATAAACATTCTGTAATTATCAGCTTGTTTTTCTTATTATTATTTATTTTTTCTCTTTTGTTTAGATCCAGCTCATTATAAGATTATTTTATTTAACATTTATTGATTTCATTTCAAAATAGACATGATATGTGGAGTTAGGGGACTGAGTATTGTACTCCAATTCTAGATGACTATATGAGTATAAGTACGGTTGGCAGTGGGAATAAATCGAGGGGAAGGACGGTGGGAAGACTACGATGAATAGGAGGTAGTAAATTCCAAAGAAAGTGGGAGCCAGTAGGTCGACAACGCCCTATTATCAGGACTGGATAATCTGGGAGACGCGGTCAGCATAACGGGTTGCGGGATAGGGTGGCGCGTTAAGGATGTGGGACGCGCAACAATTTACAACATGACCATCCAATAAATGTGTGGAGGGGAGGAATAAAAACAGTAAAACGTCACAATGATCAGGGGAAGAGGGGGTGGAATGAGTAACAATTTAGGACTTGGTGGAGTCTTTCGGGGTGGAAGAATATTGAAATAAAAATAAAGGATAAGAAAGGGGAATATATCATCGTATAATATTTTAAAGGGGGTGGGTAGGGAAAGGAAAGGGGTTAAAAAATACGGAGAAGGTATGACAAGCAAGATAATTTTTTTTTATGTATTTAGAATATTAATAAAAGTTGGAGGGGAAAGATTAAAATCAATAATGATATTTTTTTAAAAATTTATGGAGAGGAAGGATTTAGATGAATAAATATTAGGGTAACTTTACTCTGTTGGAGGGAAAGCTTATGTTATAAATATGGGAGAAACATTACCATGTTTGGGAATGAGATTTAGTGTTATTAGATAGAGGTTAAAAAAAGTATACAAGGGAGGGAAAAATATAATATTAAATATTTTTAGTAGAATTATTTTTGTTAAAAACAGGGTTAGGTATATGAAGGGTCAAATTCAATTAAATGTTTTTAAGAGAGTATTTACTTTATTGAAGTATATGTAATAAAAAAAATAAACAAAATATATTCATAAATAAATGCATATTATTAAAGTTGATAATATTTTGATTCATTCTTGAAATACTGTTTCGTTTTCACTTTCTCGGGCAGAGTAATTTTCTGGTTCTATTGAATAATCATTTTCATTTTTGCTTTTAATGAATCGTAAATTAACTTTGTCCTAGTCAAAGTCTTCATTTGATTTCGGTTCTTTGTATGAAAATTATTCCAAACGCACTAATTTCTTTATGAAGAAGTTGAACTTGAAAGGGTTAATAAGTTATTTGCTACTTCCCTTAAAAATCAAAATGGACCAAGTCCATTCCACCAGCTTAATATTAGGATCTTATTGGTGTTGTATCATACCGCATTCCACATATTTTGTTATCAAAGATATCGCTTATTACTTGACTATCACCACCTTGCAGAATACCTAGTTCTTTTATCATACCACAAGCTTTATTGCAACTACCATATCCCGCATAACAAGATAGGCAAAATTTTGTTGTTGATAAACGAATATAAAATTTTTTATGTGATCCAATAATAACACATTATCTTATATGATGATTTCCCAGATTTAAAATTACCTCTTATCAAATATAATGTTGTCCTCATATTAAGTGCTCCCGTAGAAAGTTTGTTCAATCCAGGATAGCTTATTTGTGGAGAGAAACGAGAGGATTTTTTTTAAAAATTTATTAAACCCGAATTTTTATAAAAAATAATCAGGGCAATGATATTAATGCTATTTTATTTCGGTGTAAATTTATTCTATTCTCTGGTATTTTTTTCCTTAGTGCAAATTTTTATATTAAAGATTTATAAAGTAACTTATAATGTAGCTAGTTTCATTTGAAATGTAAAGGCAACTAGTTATATTTTTAACAACATGAGTTATTGATATTGGAGATCTAATAAGTAGAAAGCATTATGAGTAGGGATGTAAGACAGGGGAAATTTCCCCTCCCAATTTTCATAATATGCTTTTTGCTTAAATCAACATGATTTTTATAATATTAACATTTTCCCAATTTTAAAAATGGTCCTATGATAAAAAAATAAAATTTAAACATTTTTTCCTCGTGGTTCATATCATAAGTTATAATTGTGTTTTATTTTTGAATATATGTTCATTTCCTTATCTCCATTTTCAAAATTCTAGAAGATACTTGTAAAAATTAAATAACTGTATTTATATCATAAATAAATACAAATGAAATTTATAAATAATATAAGAAATTTTAGTAGAAAATATTTATCGTAATCAATTTCACAGTTTTTAAATCAATGTGTTCAGTTTTTAGTCGAAAATTTTTATTTTTAAATAATGTGTTTACAGTTTCAAATCAATACATACAACACACATACTATATTAAAGTTTTTAAATTGCTCATGTTTGATATTATAGATGCTTAGAAAGTATTCAAATGTTTGGTCCTATTTTTATAAACACAAAGCTCAGAATAAGGACTGTATCACAGTGTGCAAATACTGTAGAATACAACTTTCCCAACTCAACAAAGATGACAATACATATTTCTAAATGCAATAGATATCTTAGAACATTAATTAATAATATAATTAACAATAATGTAGATCCAGTAGAAGTTCAAGTCATAATCCCACCAAATAATAATGTTGCTGATTTCAAAACTACATCCTCCTATATTAATTCTAATAAAAATGATAATATAAAAATTAAATCATTTCAAAAAATCAATACCTTTTTCAAAAAAATAATTTAATGAAATACATTGATAATATAACAGCTGAAGAACAAAGTAAACTGAATATTGAATTTGCATAAGCCATTTTTATTTGTCCATTTTCAATGTTTTTATTGGAAGAAACTATTTCAATCCTTAAGACCTGCTTTTAAAATGACTTCCAGATATTTACTAAGCAAAAACTTATTATACAGTAAATTTAAAAGCATCAAATATATAGTAAATGAAAAACTAAACAAAAGTGACTCATTAGTGTTGGGCCGACAAGAGGGGAATGCATTATCAACTTTATTCTAGCAACCCCTTGTCCCATTTTCTATAAATCGATTGACACAGGAACAAACATACATACAGGGGAATACATATCAAACGAATTTTTCAAAGTAATTGAAGAGATGGGAATATCAAAATCACCATAATAACTGACAATGCAAGCATTATGAAAAATGAGCCCTTGTAAAAATGAATTGAATGCATTTAGCCCTCATGAATTAAATCTACTTCTAAAGGATATAGCAAATAAGATATTATCGATTCAAATTTTAGTCACAAAAGCTAAAAATATCAAATATGTAAAATCAACAATATTCTTTTACCAACCTTAAAAGAAAAACAACTCCTAACCAATAATAATAAAATTGTTTCTCTAAAGTTGCCTAGCCCAACTCGTTGGGAAGGTATATTTTAAAGATAAACTTGTTAAAAAGTAAAGATATTCTATAGGAAATGGCAATTCTTGATATATTTACTGATCGAGATAAGAGACTTACTTTTCTCGATAACGATGGGGTTTTAAATATCTAATGCAAGTATACAATTTTATATGTCATATTTACACAAATAGAGATATTGGAAGGGGATAAATCCAATTTATCTGATGTCCCTCAAGCATTTATTCATATCGGGGAGACATTTAACGATTATAAAACAATATCAAATCTATTGTTACAGAGCGAGATTTCAGAAATTGAGCAGTTTCTTAAAAGGCAAAATAGATTTTGTTTTGCCGCTCGTATTATCTAAATCTAGATATTCAGAAAATCGGTTAATGATATCCAACTCTTTTACAAATTCATTGTCTCTTAAATTAAATCCGCAAAACCTTGCGTAAAATATATGAGCAGCATAAAGTATGTCCCGCTGAAATCTCGCTCTGTAACAATAGATTTGATATTGTTTTGTAATCGTTAAATGTCTCCCTGATATGAATAAATGCTTAAGGGACATCAGATAAATTGGATTTATCCCCTTCCAATATCTATATTTGTGTAAATATGACTTAAAATTGTATACTTGCATTAAATATTTAAAACCCCATCGTTATTGAGAAAAGTAAGTCTCTTATCTCGATTAGTAAATATATCAAGAATTGCCATTTCCTATAGAATATCTTTATTTTTTAACAAGTTTATCTTTAAAAACAAGTTGGGCTAGGCAACTTTAGAGAAACAATTTTATTATTATTGCTTAGGAGTTGTTTTCCTTTTAAGGTTGATATAAGAATATTGTTAGATTTTACATATTTGATGATATTTTTTAGCTTTTGTGACTAAAATTTGAATCGATAATATCTTATTTGCTATATCCTCTAGAAGTAGATTTAATTCATGAGGGCCCAATGCATTCAATTCATTTTTACAAGGGCTCATGGTTTTTTCATAATGTTTGCATTGTCAGTTATTATGGTGATTTTGATATTCCATCTCTTCAATTACTTTGATAAATTCGTTTGATATGTATTCCCCTGTATGTATGTTTGTTCCTGTGTCGATCGATTTATATAAAATGGGACAAGGGGTTGCTAGAATAAAGTTGATAATGCATTCCCCTCTTATATTTGTCCGCCCAACACTAATGAGTCAAATTTTTGCTTTTGTTTAATTTTTCATTTACTATATATTTGATCCTATTAAATTTACTATATATTTGATCCTTTTAAATTTACTGTCTAATAAGTTTTTGCTTAGTAAATATCTGGAAGTGATTTTAAAAGCAGGTCTTAAGGATTGAAATAGTTTCTTCCAATAAAAACAATGGGTTATTGAAAATGGACAATTTGACAAAAAAATGGCTTGTGTAAATTCAATATACATTTTACTTGTTCTTAAGCTGTTATATAATTAATGTATTTTGTTTGTAAGGTATTGATTTTTTTTGAAATGATTTCATTTTTGTTTATATTATCATTTTTATTAGAATTAATATAGGAGGATGCAGTTCTTAAATCAGCAACATTTTTATTTGATGGGGTTATGACTTAAACTTCTACTGTATTACATTATTGTTAATTATATTATTACTTAATTTTCTAAGATACCTATTACATTTAGAAATAAGTAGTTATTTTTGTTGAGTTGAGAAAGCTGTATTCTAAATAACAGGCCCTTTTTATTCTCAGCTTTGTGTTTATAAAATAAAGACCAAACATCTTAATATTTTCCAAGCATCTATAAGACCAAACATGAGAATTTAAAAACTATAATATAGTATGTATGTTGTATATATTGATTTGATGACTGATACATTAATTTAAATGAACAAAACTGTTAAATTGATTACTATAAATATTTTCTACTAAAAATAACCTTTAAAATTTCTTATATTACTTATATATTTCATTTGTATTTATTTATAATATAAATATACTTTGTAAAATAGCTATTGAATTTTTAAAAGTATCTTCTAGAATTTTGCAAATGAAGATAAGGAAATGAACACCTATAATAAAACAAACCATATTTATAACTTATGATATAAACCGCGAGGAAAAATTGTTTTTATAAAATATAATAAAATTTGTATTTATTTTATCATAAGACCATTAAAATTGAAGAAACTATAGGAGAAATTTCCCCTGTCTTAAATCACAAACAGTTTCTTTAACGACAGACTCTTTTTAAGCTCTTTTGCAAACTTGTATTTGTTGCATACATTCATTGAAGAAAAGTAGATAATACACCATTTTGATCTCAGCGGTGGGAAACTACTTGAACTTGGCATATGTTTATTTTAAAAAAATGTAACAATTTTTATAATGACGGATATATGTGAATTAAATAACTTAACTCGTTCAAGATCCCGAAAATATAATTGTAATATAAAATTGAATAAGTTAAAAGCAGATATCTTAAGATTAGCAGCTTTCATATTGGCCGCATTATTCCGTGACTAATGTATACACTTTTGTAGATTTATTTTTTAATTATATTGTTAAATTGTTAGGAAAAAGTGATTTTCCAGGGTATTCAAAAACTTATAAAACGGGAGCATGTGTTATTTTTTTATAATATGAAATGGATTCATTGTACGATGCTTATTTTTATATGGTTAAATTAATTTTAATTTGATATTGGGATTAAATAATAAAATTTGATGAAAATAACTAATAAAATAAAAGGCAATATGACAGATTCTAACATTCGTGGATTAGGAACAATTAACACGATTTCTAAAAAAATTTACATTATTTCAAAGAAGGATTCAACTGTAATGAAAAAGAATTTTCTTTTTCTAAAAGAGAGGTCACAGCGTTAAAGGTAATTTAATAAATTTAAAAAGTAACTACCAGTATTTAATAAACTATTTATTCAAAATTTAGAAAAAAAGTTCCAATACACATAAAATTCATGTATTCATTTCAAACGATGATTTTAATTAATTTATATATGGCCTCTATAAAGGTTAGCAATATATTTTGAACATAGCTAATAAAATTAGTCATGTGCTAAAACCTTTTGTTTATATTCATGCTTTTTTTATTTATATCTTTTTTTTCCATTTATTCTATTTACCTAGAGTAGCTAATTCCAATTCTAGTCTTTGCAAAGTATCGGGGGTTTGATTAACTATAAGCACGTCCAGCCTTATATCCCTACCAGTAACGTCCACATAAGCTTCGGCGTAAACTGGATCTGAAAAACCAGTGAGTTGAGTAACCTGATAGTGGAAAGAACAAATATAGGGCTAATAGTATAGTCAATAGACGACAGCAAAGATGAGAGGATGCAATGATGGTAACAATATTTAATTAAAATTCACACTTTTTTAAAAAATTCGGAAAGATTTCAATTACAGTCAAACGTGTCTAATTTTAGCTCTTGGTAATTCGGGCAACTTTTTACTTTGAAAAGTGGGCATTTGTTGTTTTTTGTTGTATTCATTCATTTATATTATAAAATTTATCTTTTTAAACTTATTCGTGTCAAATATAAAACAAATATAACAAGGTATCATTAATTATAAAAATTGAGGTTATTATTTTTACCATCTTACTCAAAGAGATTGTGCTAAACGATTTAATATTCCACAAAATTAACAACTGAATTAATTACATAATTTTATTCTTATTTTGTATGCAAATATTTTATAACAATTTAAATATATGTACTACATTCTTATTTAAGCTTACGTATAAATAAATAATTTTATTCATGATTAATTTCACTTTTTGCTAAACTATGAATATAACAGATATAGTAAAATGTTTTTTTTAAATAAAAAGTCTTGATAAATTAAGCAACCAAGTTGGGCAAAAATCCTGGTCCCAAGGTATAGGATTGACAGTATAACAATTATTTTTAAAAATTAATAGCATTCTTATTATTCTAAAAATTTATTTATTTATGGCGTCAATATTTGCAAATATTTTAGGGGAGGGGGTTCCCATTTCCCCCAGATTATCTTAATGCAACATAGGAAAGTGTTCGAAAGTTATTTTTAAGTTTCAGTTAAGAATCGAAATATTTTGAATATAAGGAAAGGAAGAAAGAAATTGAAAAAAAAACTATACTTTATTAAGCCGAGATGAATTGATAATATTTTGCATTTCTTTGTGGCTGGTGCCATCTATCCCAGTGTCCCCTATAGCTTTCAATAGACTGGATTCGAATTGGTCCTTGAAGGAAAATGCGTTTTTATTTAGATTTTATAAAATTTATAAGGGAAAAATTAAATTATGTGAATAAAGTGTGTTAATCTATGTCCAAAACATCAAAAAATTAAATTCACAAACTTTCGGAACTATAATGAAATTATGTAAATAAGCTATTTTAAATATAAAAAAGTGTATAAGAAATAATCTTAGAATTTTTTTTAATAAAGTTCAAAATGTAACATATGATTTTGCGAAAGTATTGAAACTTTTCGAATTTCTTTAAAATGGTTTTGGATATAGCGCAAGGTAAGATTATAAATAAAAAATTTTTTAAAAAAAATATAATTATAGCTACCAACAAAAGCTATTGTCGTATAAAATAGTTAAAGAAAAAGATAAATAAGGATTAACCTCTTGTCCATCCAGATCGCCATGTTTGATCAGAGGCATAAAAATGATTTCGGAGTCCGGTTGAACCTCTGAGCTTTTTATTCCCTGATTAAAATAATATAAAAAAAAGGTGTGAAAAGATTTGCTGGCTAAATAAGCAATATTTTTTTTTACTGATCAAAAAAAATATAATTATTAGCATAAAACAATCGTGTAAGATGCCAAGGGAAAAGTTTTTAAACCTATCAAATATCTAATTTATTCAATTATCTATCGAATTTATTCAATTTATATCTAATTTATTCAATTATCTATCGGATTTATTCAATTTATATCTAATTTATTCAATTATCTATCGAATTTATTCAATTTATATCCAATTTATTCAATTATCTATCGGATTTATTCAATTTATATCTAATTTATTCAATTATCTATCGAATTTATTCAATTTTAAACTTTATTTCGGTTGGCTTGTTGAGCCAACGTGTTAGCCTCGACCTTAACAATCTTATTGAGAGAGTCGCGACAAAATCTCGAAAAGATATCCAATAAAACGGAGTTTCCGTCGCCATTTTTGGAGGATAGAGAGCTCGAAAGAACCTTTAAACACAGCATTATTCGATCCGTATCATCCGAAGTGATGCGCTTAATTGATTATTATTTTTTTGCGGAAAAGATTTTTTAAATATACTTTTTTTTTATAACTAACTAAACTATTTTTTTTCTTTCCTTATAAAAAAAGTTATCTAAAAAAATAATACGATTAGAATGCCATTGTAAATATCAGAAAAAAATGAATCAGGGCATAGTGGCACGTGGGATAGCTAGGAACAACATGCTTGAAGTTAATTTGAGAATGCCTTAATTGTCATTATAAGAACGAGCGATACGCCCTATGGGATGGATGATAAAAGCGTATAATAGGAAATTAACTTGATTTATGATATTCAAATGTACAAAAAAAAAATTTTCCCCTCAAAAGGAGCAAAAAATAAGAAAAACACTTTAATAAAAGGGTAATTCGAGAAAATAGAGGTAAGCAGCGGGTGACGTAAAAAATATATTAAAATAAAATGGCTAATGAATTAAAATTTATAAGCCAATGGGCGAGGAGGGAAGATTATTTTTAAAAAGAGGCGGGTGGATTTGACTCAACATTTCTTTTAAGCCAATGGGCGGGGAAAATATTTTTTTCAAACCATATATATTGGCAGATATAAAACGGCCAATTTAAACCTCTAAATGGACTTTTTTTTATATCAAACTTGTGTAATAAACTACTTTTCTATTTCGATAATATTTTATTTAAAATCAATTTATTTTTTAAAATTCAAAAATTAAGTTATCTTTTGATTATGTAACGAAAAGTGATAAAGTCTAAGGCACTAAAAATGGAGTAAATAATGTACCAATAAAGTTCAAAAAATATTGATTGTTCCCCGTACCGATATCTTATTAAATTTTTCAAATAATTCAAACATACCTTTTTGGGTAAACTGGATTTTCCGTATCGCAATATCGAAGCCAATATTAGCATCGTACGAGCAAAGAAGGACTGGTTTGAAAAAGAAAAATAATTTTAAGATGAATAAGATTTGATCGAAATTGAGAAAAAAAATGCTATATTGTTAACTTAAAAATAATTAGCATTTTAAATATGAGAGGGCAGCATCGATCAACGAGTTTTTCGGCCAAGGCCGGTTCGATATTTGCTATATCAAGATCAAGAGTGCTTTCAGTGTAGAGAGGGATATCCGATCTGCCAAAAGTCCATTCCATTAAAAATGATATAAATGTTCATAGATGCCTGATTCGATATGATCAGTCTCTAAAAACGTGTCTTTTATTAACCTTTATTATTAATTCTTGTCTATATAGACACTATAATATAATTATTCAATTCAATTGATCTTTTATATAATATTAAAACAAATACGATATGTAATATTGAAATAATATTGTATAACAATATACAAAATTATAATTTTGAAATAAAGTCGATTATGGTGACCTTTAAACGTATCAGATATAACAAAAATAATGAACATTTATAAGCTCCCCTTATGAAAGCAGCCAGCATCAGTTATCTGTATTATTTTGTTTTTTAAAACGAAATTCCTCTACTATATATAGATTTCAGATAATATGGTTTCACCAGTATGCTTTTGTGTCACGCTTCTAGTTGTCAGAGTAAAATATTTATCTCAAAAAATATTTTTTAAATGACTAAGACTAAACGTGATATAAAATAGATGCTTGAAATGATCTATCCATAAAATCTGTTAGATATGAGAATTTAGAGAATACCAATAAAATAGAATAAATAAAATTATATACTAATTACTTAATTAAATAATATTAATTGTAATTTAATAAATTATAAATTAACATAAAAGGAAAAAGTAACAAAAATTAAAATTAAAGTCAACTAAAATTTATAAAAATTTCTTCTTCATATTACATTTTTTTTCTCTATATTTATACTAATAAAATTCATATAATCTCGTCATATTCATATTTTACATGAACTCTAAATATTTAACTTTATATATATAAAAAAAACTATTTTCCGAAACTATTCAAATTTATATAAACAACTATTTAATTAAATGCAAACACAAATAATGACATTTTAATTATTACAACACTCTTTCACTTACGTTGGATCCATCCTTCTGCGAATTAACAACTTTCTTTCGATTTCAACTTGGTCTTGTATCTCCACCAAATCTATTCTTCTTAATCTTTAATGTATTCTAATTTATAACTACAGCTGTGAACATTGAGTTATCCCCATCTTTCGCGAATATGTCTCATAATGTCTACCATAAAGATTGCTTACAATGATAACGCTCTTTTGTAACGATACTGCCTCTTGTCATGATCCTACCGATACAAATCTCTTGTAACAATAACCATTTCTTGTAATTAAGATCTCTTATATGATAAGGATTTCTTGTATCTTAAATCCCAAATAAAAATCCGATCTCTAAATGAGCTCGATTGCGGCATGAATTTTCTAATGATGAAAGCCGTTTCTTTTATGAAGATTTTGGTTAATAAAAAACCTAATATTTTGCTAAATATTATCAACTTAATTCACCGTTAAACATATATCTTTAATAAAAATAACGAATTTCTTTTAGCTAAAACGTCACATGTACGTATAACGATCTCTTGTGATGAATTCCTTTTAACTATCACAATCTCTTGAGACTAAAACGACTAATTCTATACCTTTTCGAACTACGACCATTTGCCTGGATATTGATACCATTGTTTTTTTGCTCTCATTCTTTATGTCGATGGTCATTTCATACATCCATATGAAGAAGAAATTTTTATAAATTTTAGTTGACTTTAATTTTTATTTTGCTTTTTAATTTTTGTTATTTTTTCCTTTTTTGTTAATTTATCATTTATTAAATTACAATTAATATTATTTAATAAAGTAATTAGTATTTAATTTTATTTATTCTATTTTAATTGTAATCTTCATAAAGAGAAACGGCTTTCATCATTAGATTCATGTAGGAATCGAGCTCATTTAGAAATCGGATTTTTATTTGGGATCATTTGAGATACAAAAAATCGTTATCGTATAAGAGATCTTGATTACAAGAAATGGTTATTCAAGAAATTGGTATCAATAGGATCATGACAAGAGGCAGTATCGTTATAAGCAATCTTTATCGTAGACATTATGAGACAAAAGAGATGCCTTGGCAAAAGATGGGGATAACTCAATGTTTACAGCTGTAGTCGGACATGAACGATTGTTAGAAACTAAGAATACTAGGCAAAGGACAGCTGTAGTTATAAATTAGAATACATTAAAGATTAAGAAGAATAGATTTGATGGAGATACAAGACTAAGTCGAAATCGAAGAAAGTTGTTCATTCGCAGAAAGGTGAATCCAAAGTAAAGGATGTTGTAATAATTAGAATGTTATTATTTGTATTTGCATTTAATTAAATAGTTGTTTATATAAATTTGAATAGTTATGGAAAATAGTATTTTTATATATATAAAGTTAAATATTTAGAGTTCATGTAATGAATATGACGAGATTATATGAATTTTATTAGTATAAAAATTAGAGAAAAAAAAGTAATATGAAGAAGAAATTTTTATAAATTTTAGTTGACTTTTTATTTTGTTTTTATAATTTATTAAATTACAATTAATATTATTTAATAAAGTAATTAGCATTTAATTTTATTTGTATTCTCTAAATTCTCATATCTAACAAAATCAAAAGTGATAGAACAGAATTTTGATCCAGAATAAATCAGATTTAAAACATAAGTCGTAGATGAATAAACACAATCTAGTGCATCCCGACTAATTCTTGTCCTATCAGGCAATTCTGATGAGAAATCAAATATCATATTTCTATTTTTTAAATAATCATATAGCATTCTAAAAATTATGCACGCTGCTATAAAAAAAATCGGCGATTTTTCTAGAATAAAATTGCAGGCGGCGCACAGGTCTACATATAGCTCAAAATTTGGCCAATAGATGTCCAACCATCCTACATCTGGAAGCTAAATTTCTAGGCTAAGGTAATTTTGTGGCTAAAATTGTAATTTACGAGCTGCTTAACAACACTATTTGAAATGTTGAAGATAATATAACATCATTTTTTTCTTTTAAAATAATCGAATTTTTTTATAAACATTATTTAGAGATAACCGAATTCTGAATAGCAATTTACAATCAGACATTTTCAGAAAGTTTTTATTTCGTTTATAGCTGGTTTTATTTACTGACTGGTAAAACTGATTGATGAATTACTAAGTATAATTAGACATATATTGGCGCACCCAAAAATTCAACGATTCTATATTTTCGTTACGACACGATGGCCAATCTTGGAAATTTTTTCTTATTTTACCAAACGCGTTTTTCTTTAAGCTATCTGCCAATTGGGTGGAAACTCTAAACCTTCTGCATTACGTGTTCGATAACACTAGTCACAGTCTAGAAAAATTGATAAATTTTCAGAATATGGCATTAATGTGTCTTCATTCAATAATTCCATTTTTTTAAATATGTTTAAAAAATTGGTTCAAATAGAGCCGTTAATACACTTCTGTCCATGACTTAGATAGAAGATAACTTTTCCAACGAGATTCTTGATAATTTTTTGGACATTATTTATTAGCTCCACAAATGCCCTTAAATTAAGGTATATTTTATGGGGCTGGTGCTAAATCGTTTTCAACCTTATCTTCAGATATATGACAATGAATCATAATTTATGTTGTCGAAAAAGCGTACTCTGGGTAAATAAGTTTGTAATGCCCATATTAGGAAAATAGCGACTAGACAAATAGCCCTTCATTAGAAAGTTAAATATAAAAAAATGAGGATTTTAGTGTATACATTTTAAAATGACAAAATGAGTACTCACATTAATCTTAGCATCGTTTCCTTTGTTGGCTTCCATGTATTTGAAAGCGATTTTGGTAAGATCGTTAGCCAAACTGGAAGCTACGAAAAATTCTCCATTTGAAGCAAATTTTTTCAAAGGGGGGATCCTTGGTGAAATATAAAAAGAATAAAAAAATCAAGGTATTTTTTTTTTAAAAAAGAAAAATTTCATTCTGATCCCTCCCTCCATTTTCTCTAACATTAAAAGCAAATGTTTTTTGGTTATAACTCATTATCGGTTTTAGTTGCTTTATTGGATTTTTCCAATGGGCTTTGAGTGGCGTAAGTTCCATCAGGCGTTATAACGGGCTTATTGGACTTAATTTCAACGATGTTTTTATCCGTAGCAGCAGTTACATCGACGTTTGTATTCTCTCCTTCTTCGGAAACAAGTTGATTCTGGTCCGGAACCAATGGAATCTTAATGATTGGAAAGACAAAAAAAAATAGTGCTATTTCTTAAGAAACGGTTCCAATTCTAAATCGCTAAAAATTGTAAATCTCGCTTATATCCTCTAGAAAACTTTTAAAGTAAATCTGAAAGTAATAAATAGATGCTAGACAAGTATAAACACTTAAAAAACTTATCCCTAAGAAACAAATTTTAATTTTTTCTTTTATATCTCTTTTATTTATTTAAAATCTTCTCTTGTTTTTTCTTTAAACAAAAAAAAATTAATTACTTTCCCCAAGGATTTTGTCACTACGTCTAAAACAGCTTCTAACTGCGAATTTCCGTACGAATATTCTCCTAGCAACCAAATCGTTCCTCTAAACACGTAGGGACATTTTAGGGTAGCGAATATTTCCAAAAGCTTCATTACTATACCTTCCGTCATCTTATTAAAAAAAATTAAATGGATATTAAATCTCTTCTATTTTTTCATAAATTTTATTCTTCTGAAACATAATTAATTCCGATCTCATTTATCCCTTTATGAAAAGTATTGAATTTAAATAAAAAGGATATCGATCGTAAATAAGTTTAGTTTGATAATACCTGAGGAAAAGTTTGAACAGATTCCCGCAAAAGAGATAAAACTTGGGAAGCCGGTGATTCCGAATTATTAGCTAAAATGAAAAAAGAAAATTCTATTAATAAAAACAATATATTACGATAACAGAATATCTTGCTCCATCACTAGATTTATAAATTTTATAGAGCTAAATGAACCCTAAATCGACGGGCACTGCTTCGTCCCATCTTCAAAAAATCCCGACGCCCAGGATCTGTTCAAGGAAATAAAACGAGGTAAACCTATGTCATTCTCTATTTATTGAAAAAAGCAGATCTAAGAAACTTATCTTATTGGATTAAATTTAAAAAAAATCAATATCAAAGAATAATTAGCTTGCAGAACTCACAATTATTCTCGTTCACCAGAAAGCATTCTATAAGGGTCGGAAAAATTTGTCCCAAAATATCGGGGTATTTGGGAAACAGGCAATTTCTAAGCGTTCTGATCAGCATCGTCTTGTATTTGTTAGAATCCTCGTTGGGGTTACTTTCGTTTACCGTGGTCACGCTGGTAGGTTTAGAATCCGAAGCTAGCTTGGAGCCGTGGTCACTGGCAGTAGTCGTGGGGCTACTAGTGGTAATATTTTGCTGCATGTCGGAGGCATCCTTTATTTTAATAATCTCCTTTTTGAGAACCGCTATAAGCTTAGGGGCAAAAAGAAAGGATAAAAAAAATTAAATTGTTATCATTCTACTCATGACGTCTTATTCATTTTAGCAAAATGCATTAAAAATTACTCGTAAAATTTAATTGATAGAGACCTTGGTAACGCTAGATAACCTCTGAGGTCCATTATTCAAAATAATTTATTTTACTCTCAAGTGTTTTTGACTTCTAGAAAAGGTGAAAACAGATTTTTAATATTGACGACGAGTTTAAATTTACTATAATTTTGTAAATATGTTAATTAAATGAATATAAATTTATACTAAAAATAGATCAGATTATGCTAAAAATTGATTAAAATTTTTTTATAGATATAAAACATCAATATAGATGCCATTATGCAAACATTTTAAAATAAATGACTTTTAAGATTATAAAAATATGCGCCTAATTTCTCCATTAATGGATTATTCAAATTTGTATTATCAATTAGTTAATTTTTTTTTAAAAAAATTGATCTTATTGTTATGGATAGTAATTTGCCATGTTATTGTAAAAAAAAGAAAGTACATTATAAGTATAGGAATTCTATAGTAAAGGGGGTTTAAAATCAATTTACGATTCATTAAGGGCATAACCTAGTTCTATACCTAGAAATCTAATGAGGTATTTTATGCAATCTATGTCATTAATATTGAGCCAATTTTTCATATTATTTATTTTCAAATCTAGGACATTCACACCACATTATAAGTGTTTTGGATTATATATTCGATATATAGTAATTATAGGATTATTTATTTTATTTTGAGGACGTGAACTCGAATTCTCATGTTTTTGTTGATGCCGAACGTCTTTTAAAAGTAAGGGTGGTTCAATGTATCAAAAAAATTAGTAAAAATTATTTCTTCCATTAAATAATTCTAAAATAAAATATTATTGAGCAGTTACCTTATTATTATATAAAAAAATGGTTAAAAAATAAATAAAAAGAGGTTTTTTCGTGGAATCATTTTTCAATTTCTTCATATTTTTAATTTTTTTAGTTTTTATGCCTTCATTTTGAAGGTAAAACTTTTTTATGGAACGATAATTTAATATTCTAATAATACAATAGGAATACGTGGTTTATCTTGTTTCTATATTAATTTAAAAAAGTAAAATAGTGGGACAAAAACACATACAATCACGAAAGTAAAATAGAATCTTATTTTTATTTAGATATTCAATGATTTGTGCGGAATAATTGTTTGATTGAATATTAAAAAAATTCAATTAAAATATGAATCAATTTTTATTTTCTTTGCCATCAAATTATATTTATATCAAGTATATCATAAAATAAAAGTTTTATTTTACCAAACCGTGAAACCTTTTTTTTTTAAATTTTATCTCTTAAACCGGACCCTGTTTTTTTGTCGAAGGTTCACATACCTAATTTATTTTAAATAATGTGCATACCGCTATCTATATTGATATTTCTTATCGATAAAAAATTAATAAAAACTCGAAAACCAATCTTTTTTTACTCGGATTAAATTTTTTCAAGCATAATTTACATTCATTTAATGATGAACATATTTAGTGAAGTTTCCAAATTTGGAAGCATTATCTTTTCTGGAAATGAGAAAACACTGAAGGTTTAAAAGTAGTTTTTTTTAATAAAGGACTTCAGGGGCTGTCTAATGATGCCAAACATAGCTCTCCAGTCTCCACCATTTAAAATTTTCCGAGTAATATTTATTTTTACGCGTTTTACCAAAACGGTACGACGCCATTTTTACACTTTAAACCCTAATATCTCTTAAAATAATAGTTTTCTTAAAAAATTCATCGTACTATTTTCCTCATAACATACTTAACAATGACACAAAATGTCATTTAATTCGAAAGATGTACACGAAACTGTCCATTTCAAACGGAATGCTATACTTACTTAAATATAAGAAACAAGGTTTAGTGTATAGGAGTGATGGGTAAAAGAAAGAAAGGAATACCGAAAACCCAATGAGCCCAAAGAGTTAAGCCAATATGGCAAAATATACATGGATTATACAAATGAATAATATAAATTGGAAAGAGATATTGAAGGAGCTTACCACTCGAAAAGATAAAAGCTAAAAAAAATCATTCACTATATTTCATTTTCTAAAAAAAAGATTATTCCGTTAAATACTTCGTCCAAATCTCTTCCCTTTTTACATTTATTTAAAAAAATATCAAAAGTTTAAAAATATGAAGATATTTTTTTATACATCGCGAACATTCCTTGAGGATACAAGTTCCAAGGCCAATTCCAAAGTTTTACTCTTGACCTCCAAATCGCTCGAATTCAACAATCGCAAAATATCCATCATCATATCCTAAATTTTTTTATAATCATTTTCAATGAAAATAAAAAAGGGATAATATTTAACCTCGAGGACTCTTTCGTTGTTCGCATTTTGATCCTTGAGTTCCAATAACTTTCCCAACACGATAAGTTTTACGTTATTATCGTTTTCCTTAACTATCAAATCTATGTAACAGGTAGTGGCAGCCTTTTTGTTTAATGTATAAAATGTTTTTTTATTTATATAATATAATTCTTAAATTTTCTTTTTATAAAACTTTATATCCTTTTTCCTTTTATTTCAATCGACCTCTTTTTTTAAAAAAAATTAGTTATTCTTTCTTTTTCATACTTTAATAGCAGTGGGAGCAGAGGATATAGACATAAGGGTTCCGGCTGCCTCATATTTGACCGCGTTATTGCAAGAATTTATCAGATTGTACACGCACCTGATAAACCTGGATCTTTCGGATGGGTTGGAACGGCACACCTTTTATGTGTAATATTATATACTATGTTCATCTAAATAAGATTGCATATTTTTTTTATATTTTTTTAAAATAAATTTCTTAAGCTTGAAAGTGCTAAAGATAACTATTTCAAAAAAAACGCACAGAATTAGTATAAGAATTAGAGTCTTGCAGGGCCAGTCCGAGCTGGCACTAAATTCATTAATAAAATATAGACCAGGCCTGGTCCATAGCTAAAAATATTAATCCCCTTTTTATGCACAATTAAATATCACAATTATAAAATGAATTTAAAGAAAATAGGAAAGTGGGAAATATTTACTAAAAATTTATTTATTATATTTTGTAACAAATAGGAAAAAAAATATATTGTGAGTTTAAGGTTTCTTCCCCATAAGGCCCTGCCTCAATGGGTCTGGTCCATTCTAAAAAAAATTCGCCACTTAGCAGTGAGTTGGCTTGGGCCAAATTTTCTTTGATTTGGCAAGTTTATATTTTCTTATAAGAATTTCAACTTTTACCTTACTTTATATTTAAAAAAATAGGAGTACAATTTTGGGTTACAAAATCGACTCAATTTAAAGGTGGGTGCCAAATAAACCTTCAGATGCAGATTAATTTGCCCCAACCTACCCTAAGTGAAAGCCATAATACAAAACTAGGCTTAGTAATATATTAGAGTCGACTCAAAATCGAGTTAAATGAGGGGATTTGGCAATATTACCAGGGTTTTAGTTTCATAGCTTTAGAATAAAATTATTGGCCATATTCTTGGTACAAACTAATAAGGGTTATAGTTAAAGTATAAATATACTTTAAAATGCAATAAATACCTTATTATATTCATAGAAAATAATTATCTGAAAAGTATATATCGATGCAATGATGATTTTTATTAAGAAGAATGGGGAGTGGGTAGAATAGGTCAAACACCTATCCCATCTTTTATTTTCAAAATGGAAGCACATCCATGGTAGCTAAAATCTGGGACAGGTTTCAAAAATCGCTAAAAGTCTTTACATACACATCTTTCTATAGAAGCATGGAACATGACATGTATTAGGCAATAAGGATCTTATTAAAAGAGAAAAAGCTATTTCTTTTTAAAAAAAAAAACCAATCTAATCTCAAGATTAAATCTCAATAATCAAAAATATAGTAAGGAATAATTTAAAAACTTAATAGTATCATGTAGGGAAATAATTAAAAATATTATAACTCCAGTTAATAAATTTTTTTTAACTCTTCAGAACAAAGGTGGTGTATGCATGAGCCTTATATTCTTGGTAATAAAAAAATGAGAAGATATATTGAACCTCACATTATTTTAATATTTTGTAATAAAGTGTATATACAAATATAGCAAATTTCATAATTATCGATAAAATAGACCTATATATAGTTAAGAATTCTTTTTTAAAATCCCGTTTTTATCAATAATATTTGAATATGGTAAACTAATATATAAAATTGAAAATAATATTTTTATTTCTATTTTTTGTTTGAAATTATGACACAAGATGTAAAAATTTTATATTATTTATTATTTTTCCAGTGGAGTAAAATATTATTCTTATATTTTGTATGTATTATTTGATATTTATGATGTATAAAATTTTATATAGGTAAAAATAAATTTTTTTAACCTTGTAAATCAATTCCACAATGACTAATTGTAAAATTTCATTGAAATTTTGCACCTGGTCTATGCAGCTGTGTAAGTAATTCAGAGCCTTTTCCTATAAACGATTTCATGATTTATTAAAAATAGATATATATAAAAAAATATATATAACATTTTGTAATTATATTCCTCTATTTCTTTCTTTCTTCTTTTTACAATTTTAAATACTCTTGAAATTAAGTTAACAATATGTATATAAAAAATAACTGGAAAATTAATTTTTTAAAAACTTGATCAGCATGTATTAGCATTATGAAAGCGTTCCTTTTACATGAAGCATCTTGTTCAATTTCCAAAAAATTTCCAATCAATTCTGGTGCATCAGGTATCAAAAACTCAAAATTCCTTAATTTATTATTTTTGTAAGCAAAAATTTAAATAATTTAACCACCAACCTTAATGAATAGGGTAAGTTTTATAAAATTTGTGAAGATAATGCAGCCTACTATTCAATATGCAAGCTTCTAGTTTAGCAGAATAATAATAAATTACTAAATCGATAAAGAAGACCCTAACCCTAACTCAATGCAATGGAAGAAAGAAATTTTAAAATAATTTGACTTAAATGTGTCTTATGATAAATATTTAATAAAAAAAATATTAAAAGATATTATTATATAAGTCTAAGACATTATTACATGTAGAAAAAATAGCAATAAAAAATAAATATTAAAAAGAAATTCCAAAAGATGTATTAAAAAAAATTGATTTAACAAAAGAAATATATACCTGTATATAGTATAAATGGCCAATACAGCATTCCTTCTGACATAAGAATGTTTATGTTCCAAGCAAGCTCTGATAGAAGGCATTAATGGTTCCAGCAGTTCATATTCTTTTAATTTACACAAAAATCTCAGTGTTGAACCCCTTATAAATTCATTTGGATGTTGTAAATCCTAATTAATGATAGTTACATATATATATATTTGTAAATACATATTCTTATAATTATAAAAATATATAATTTACAAAAAGGAAAATTTATATTTTTAATAAATTTAAAAATAACACTATTATAATAATTAATATATTTATTTTTGCTAGTTATAAATATGTTATATATTTAATAATAATAAGAGTAGAAAAATGGAAAGGTAAATAATTATTTTTATATTATAAAAATATAGTGTTGTCTAATATATATTAAAAACAGGTATTTCACTAATAAATGAGCTTATTACTTTTCTGTAGGCATCACAGACTAAAATCATCTCAGGTAACAATTTACCAGTGGCATTTCTTTTGGGAACTATTTCCCAAAATATTAATAATAATTTTTTGACCTGATGATCTTGCTGTGGAAGCAAATATCTAATGACCAATATCAACATAGATGGGGGCAGCTTTTCCCCATTTAAAAGAGCAAATATCAATTTTTTCAACGCCTCAGTTTTGGCCTTTAAATTACCATTTTCTTAAAATATTTGGATAAATAATTTAATATATTATAAATACCTATATCATGTTTTAATTGTGACTCTTTCGGCGTGTCTGAATCAGTTGGAGAGTTTATAATAACGTAACAGGGTTGTTCTACCTCAGCTGTCATTTTCAAGATGCAATGTGTCAATTAAATTAATCCACGCAAAAAGTGTTTTATTTTTTTATATTCCATGCTATAACAAACTTTTAACCGTGCTTAAAAATTATTCAAAATATATTAATCATGAATTATACATGATACGTGATATATAGCGCTTTTGCCCTCTAGCGTTGAAGATTCAACAGAGCTACGCTAGGTTTTCCTCATTTCCATCTAATTGGAACAATTTAATTTGGGTATAAAAGTAAAAATATGAGGAGCCCTCCACCAGTTTGTGGCAAGCCGCACGTACTTGTAGGCACAACATTTCGAAAAATGTTGCTTAAACCTCTATAGGCTTTAATTTAAAAGGCGTGGGACAAAGAAAAAGCCTATACCCAAAAACTACAGTATAATTTAATTACTTTAAAGGTGGGTGATGGCTGATTTTAAGCTTAATTTCTTTAGTGTAAGTTATAATTACTATCAATATTGAGATATAATGTTCATAAAATCTGTAAATAAATATGATTAAAATAAAATAATATTTACCGTTCTATCACTTCAAATTTTCCACCGGATGAAACCGCACCAATTTTCCATCATGAATTATATATTTATGTAGTTCGATACAAAACCGATGTAGATTCTGAAAAATCAGCTGATATCAATATCGATATAAATATGATATAATATTTAAAAATAAAAATATATCCTTACCAATTCCAAAGTGATATAATTTTAATATAAATTTTTTTATAATGAAAATTATTATCATTAATAGCTCATATGTATTAAAAAAAACATATTATATATTTATTTCGACTGTTAGAAACACGGTTAGTTAAAATTTAGAAAACTACTTTATTAAATTGAAAATAGAATTATCTTGTAATCAGACATATATAAAATTTTCACTTTATATAGTATAATTTTGGGATATAAATTTGAATAATATTATATAAATTAAAAAGATATAAGTTAAAGTAGAAATCGCGATATATTGTATAAAGGGTCATTCGACTATTATAATTATTATTAATTAATAAACTTAATTTTATGTTATATTTTTATTTATTATAATTTTTTAAATTTGAATTTTATTATATAAATTAAAATGAAATAAGTTAAAGTATAAGTTGCGATATATTGTATAAAGGATCATTCCTATTATAATTATTATTAATTAATAAACTTAATTTTATATTATATTTTTTTTAATAGATTATAACGGAATCACATGGTCGTGTCCGGCCTCCTATATATCACCCCCCCCCCCCCATGGATGGAACCACCAAGTTAGATTAAGAAAAAAAACATGACCATTCTCGGGATTCGAACCCATGACTAGGGCTGGGAACCAATAGTAAAAACCCAATATTAACAAAATATTGTATTGGTATTGGGTCTAAAATATTGGTATTGGTTTAAACAATATTTTCTATTTCTTGTATTGGTATTGCTATTGCTTTATATTGGTAACTATTGTTTATATTGGTATTGATTTAAATTCAAATTACTAATTAAAAGAATAGAAATAGTGATTATAAAACCCTTAATTTAAATAAACATGGGAAAAAAATCATGATACCATAAGATCAGGGCTAAGAACCAACTCTCAAAATTTTACTGAATTCAAATTCTTTTTTAAACTAGGAATTTATTAAGTGATGTGAATATGAAAAATTTGATTTAATCATGTATTTTTTGTATCAACAATAATAAACGTATTGATTTTGAACCATTTTATTTATCACAAAGAACATAGCAAAATAAGTAAACTAAAAATATAACATAACTGTCTATTTATACAAAATATAATTCAAAAGAATGATATAATTTTAATATAAGAGGAAATAATTTTATGTATTTAAGAAGAATCTTGCATGCGCATCCAACTTTTTAGGCACAAGTAAGCTTGTATAGTATGCTCATCTAGTGAACAACGTTGGTCGGTTATAACATACTGTCCTTCTGAAAAAGCCCTTTCAGAGCTAGATGAGGTGGCCGGAATTGCTAGATAATCTCTGGAAATTTTTGATAATACTGGATATCTATTTTTATTTAATTTCCCCAATCTAATGGATTTGTATCATTGGATATTGTGGCTTAATCTACGTATTTACTTATTTCTAAGTTGTTATTATTATGAGGTTTCACCTGATAAATTTGTCATAAAAGGACAATTTTTTGTTATTTTGTGCTTCATTTGTAAGTTCCGCTGAATTGTTATTATTTATTTTATAAATATTGTATTCATTAGTAAGAAATCCAAAAGAGTTTCCATATTATTATGCTTTAATAAATGACTTGATAGTTTAAATCTTGGACCAATCATTGTTGAAATAATAAAGAGGTGTTTATTAAAATTATAGTATTTATTAAGTTTTGTTAAGGCAGCTAAAGAAGCTGTCTTTAAAATAGCATTAGGATTATTATTATAACTCTCCACATGCTCAAAAATACTGGAATATAAAGGAATAATTGTTGAAATTGATTGAGTATTAGCACATGAGGCCATCTCTGTAGCAAAATTAAATGGTTCTAGAAATTCTCGGTATATTTCTATATTATTCCAGGCTAAGGCACTAATATAATTTTCTTGATTGGTATTTTGTAAATGATTATTATATGTTGTCAAATAGGGTTTGAGCAATATTGCTCTTTCAAGCATTTGGTATGTTGAATTCCAACGTGTTGGTAATCAAAAACCAAAATTGGGTGAGGAAATTTTAAGTGTGGATTTTTATCAAGATATCTTTTTGCGAGTTTATTAAATTTAGATATAGAAAGTTTAAAAATTTTAAAAAATTTCTTATAAGTGTTTCAATGCAGCCATGACAGCTAAATGTATAATATGGCAAAAGCATTTGCACACATTATCAAAATTATCTTTTTGTTTTAAATTTTTAGAAATTCTAAATTATTACTTGCATTGTCTAATGTAATGCAAAAAAATCAATTTCAAATTTTACTTTTAATACAGAATTAAAAATATTAATAAAATTATGTGCTGATTTAAAAGGAATAAAATCTAATAAATGATTATTTAATTTAAAATCATTATCAATATAATGAATTGTTATGCCCATAAAGGGTATTTTATTTGGAGAGGACCAAATGTCCATTGTTAAGGAAAATTTAGATGTAATGTTAGAAAGTACAGATTTTAAATTGATAAAAGAACTATGATAATGTTTCATAATTTCTATTTTTAGTGTTTTCCTAGAAACTAATGTTAGTGAGGGGTTACAATTTGCTATTAAATTTTTAAAAGTGATATCCTCAACTATTGAAAAGGCTAAATTATTTTGAATGAAAAGGTTTTTAATTAAATTATTTAAATAAGCTTTATTATTTATATTATTAAGTAAAAATGATTTTATTGTCTTAATTTTTTTACTGCCAATATTTATTTGCTCACATTTCTTATATAATGTTGGATGGATGGATTTAAGATGTGTCCATAATCCTGAGGTTCCAAAATTGGGAAGTGGCATTTTTTTTTACATTTATTACAAATTGCCTTTTTTTTATTATCACAAGTAGTATAAAATTCCCAGATTTTTGCTGAATTTCATCTTTTATTAGATATTGATAATTCTTCTTGTTCATTATCGCTATTATTTATTAGTACCAACAGCATCTATATTTATTAACTCTATTTGGTCTTCATTTATTATAATATCCTAAATAAATAGATAAAATTGATAGATGTCATGCTAAAAATTTAATTCCATAATAAAAATAAACTATAATTATAAATAACAGAAATATTGATATCACAGTAGTATTTGGAAGAAATAACAGATGTAATCAATTTTTGCGATGAAAGTAAAAAAAATACCGATATAATTATCCACGATAAACCCAAAAAATTATGTTATTTTTAATAATGGTATTAATATTGGTTAAAATTGTATTTAAACAATATATCAAAACCAATATATTTTGGTAATTAGTATTGGTATTGGTTGTAAAAGCAATACCAATATTTAAATATATATTGGTTTATATTGTATTGATAATGTAAACCAATATTATATTAATATTGGTCCCACCCCTAATGACTATGGGATAAGTAAGCGAAGCTCTTGCCGACTAGGCCACAGAGGCTTTTCAAAAATCACGATTTTTCAAATATATATTATAAATATATTTGGTAGTGCCTATCCAAATGAAAAATAAACAAAATACAAATTTGATTAGTAAGCATCATTAACCCATTCAATCATGATAGTATTTTAAAACTACAATCATAATTTACTAAAATAATTATCTCTTTCAAAATATTTTAAAAAAATTTAAAGCGAAAATCAGTTATAATTGCAAAATAATATAAATAATGAATATAGATTCTACACCCTTCTTAATGAAAATATAATTTAAAAGCAATAATAATCGTTAAATACCATCATATCTTTTTTTTTAAACAACTATAAACTTTTTCGTGCCCATGAAAAATAATTTTATTCGAAAATGGATCATCTGGTAACAGAGAGACTTAAAATATTTAATATTCAAACTTTTACGTTAATATTATCATCGTGATATATCGTTTTTTTAAAGAAATATTATCTAATAGCTTATTTTATAATAAATGAATATATCGAGTAGAGAGGCAAGGTGGTAGAAAATTGAAGGGTAAAGCTTTATAAACACATATTTTTATAAAATTTAATAAATTCATATAGCAGTTTATTTTCATAAATTTTTTTTCTTCTAAAACTAACTTGAGACTAGATGTGTATCTTCCATTCTATAACCTTTCTATGAAATCAACAGATCCTAAATTTTTATGAGTTTACTTATCAGACCACCAGACCTCAGATTAGACATAACCCTGCATTCACAGTTAGCATAAATTCGTGACGAAAAATACAAAATATAATATAAATATAATAATTTTGCATTCATTTTTATATATTTTGCAGCGAATTCGTGCTAAATAAATGCAGGGTAAGGCTATGGTTAAAAAGATTGAAGTATATACTACATTGTTTTTAGAAAAATATAAATTAATTTTTCAATCTGTCTAATTTTTAACCACTTTGCATAGTGTAAGAAATAATTCAAAAACAAAACTAAGTAT